AATCTTAATTTATAATTATTTTACTAAATAATAATTATTTTTTCTAATACACTTTTTAATTACTTACTAATTGTACTTTACCTAAATTCCCGTGTCTACAGTAATACACCCATATTACATGGGACGAAGGGAGTATTATTATTTGAAATTCGCATTGAAAAATAGTACTGAAACAATAGAATGATTATATCAATTTTTTATCTTTTTTTTCTTTTTTAATTCATTGTATGCATATGTAACTATGAGTTGGATGGTTGAAAGATTTGAGAGTAGAATCATGGAATGGTTAAATTAGAGATGAGTTTGTTAAGGATTAGTACTAGTTATGGAAAATAAACAAAATTTACCACCATATCTATTCTACATATATTTATGGATAATACTTGTTAATTACTACACAACTTCTTACAAATCTATACTATAAACAAATTTATGGTTATAATTTCAGTTTGCTTAATTGTTTTTTGGCAGTTTATTAAGTAATTAGAAAATATTATATTTATTTAAATCTAATTTTTATATAAAATATCATATGCTAAAACTTAAATTAAACTTCACTATCTCAAAATAAACAATATAGAATAAACATGTAAGAGTAACTTTTGTTATGTTTCATAGATACTTTAGACTATTTTGAATTAAAGTAGTAAAAAAATATACTACTACGGCCATCCATCACCAATCTATCAATTTGTATTTTGTGTCATTGTTTTTAATATTAAAAATATTTTTATATTTGTATAATTTTTTGTATAAATATCATTACATTAGTATTATAAGACACCAATAAAAATATTTTTATCGTTTTTTTTTTTAAATTTATACTATGTTTTAATATAATAATTAATATTTAAATATTAACATGCAAAAAGTAAATGAATATATTCGCAGTGGACGGATGTAGTATATAAATGTCATAGTAATATAGTATATCTTCCTCTTATGCTAATTAAAATAATGAATTCTATATATATATATATATATATATGCATAAAATCTTAACAAAATAGATGTTTTATGCATTTTGAATTTCATTATTAATTTATTTTGTAATTTATCTTTTCTTCATATGATTGTGCATTAGAATGGGGTCGTTGCTTCTACTTAATTTTTTTTTTTTTTTTTCCCCTAACTATACAATTTTCATAATATTCAACACATATTTTTATATAAGATATCATATTCGACAATAATTTTACCTCAACAATATCAAACACCAACGTATAAAAATAGGTGTTAGTTTAAATAGTAGTTTAATATAATAATTTGTAAAATAAAATAATATATTTTTTCGGAAAGTGTTCAAGTGTGTTGATATGAAATTCTGTTTGATTATATCGAAGATCCGCATAAAGTATCTATGATGTCTAGTTCGAGGATTGTTCTGATGATAAGGTCTAAACGTGTTCGAAGCTGTTGAAGATTCAAAACAAATAATATTATTCTAAAGAAGTTTCAGTTTTTGTTGTGTCAACTGTCAACAAACAACTGAGTATTTATTTGATACAAATAAGCTACAAGTATAGGAGAAAAAAGTATCAAGCTGCCTACACTCACGTCCCATCTCAAAACACATCCAATGGAAGCCGAGCCTGTGTATGCTTGCCTTGATTTAGGAACACTATAAGAAAATATCATTTTTGTAACGAGGATTTTTAGTTCCTAAATCTCATTTTTCGTTACTAATGATATTAGAGACGGAATTAGTGATGGAATTACGTTAGTTACATAAATTTTAGGGACGAAATTCCGATACAAATATATTATTTTTTTTGTAGTGGAAGATGCATTTGTATATGGTAGAGAAACTTATACATTAGATTGTGTATGTAGCTGTAGATTTGTGGAGTTTGTGTGAAAAAATTTGTATCTTGCTTCTGTTTTGTTCTTAGTGGAACTTTCTTGAATTGGTATCTTCTAACGGAGGCCAATTGAGGGCCAAATTAGTCAACAGACCTTGGTGTGCTGTTTATTTCTTTTCACTCCACACAATCCTGTATGTGGTTTGTTTGTCATTCAAATTAAAAGTAGACTATATCTGAAAAAATAAAATAAAATAAAATAATTTGGTTTACTTGACATTTTTGTTTTGGTTTGAATAGTAATTTGAATATAATATTTTGTGATATGAAATAATAATTTTTTTATAAAAATATTATGGAAATTATAAAAATAGAGAAATTGAAATCAAACTAATGTAGAGGAATCATTTTTGCATTTTTTTATATATAAAAAATTAATAAAAAATACTACTATTCACAACATATTGATTAAATTAAAATATTATTTAGATAAAAATTTAAATAAATGTTTCATTAAATTAATTTTAAACAAAAACCAAACAAACCAATTATCATGAAATTTTATTAAAACACATGTATTATTATATCAATACTATTTATTTGTGTTTTGAAGAATGTGTTTATTTGAAATTTTCTTTCTATTATCCATTTTTTTCTTATGATTTCTTATAAAACTTAACTATTTTTTTTTATATAAAATATTGTTAAATTATTATTTAGATTAAAAATAATAATTTTTTTAAATAGGAAAGAAATCTTGATATATTGTTATGAATAGAAAATGAGTGTTGCATAATATTTTAAATAAAAATATTTATTATATTCAATATTATATTTTTAATAATAATAATAATAATAATAATAATAATAATAATAATAATAATAATAATAAATCAAGATGTAAGAGACCAAAATCATCTAAAATTGATTTTGTATGACAAAATGTTAATTCAGGAATCAGGATGATATAAATTGATCATACCCAATAACATGTAACAATAAGACAATTGCAATTATACACACAAATTCAGCAATTTTCAGTCAGACATCTAAAACTAAATTAAATTAAATTAAATTAAATTAAAGGTCCAGTCAAATTTAAACACATACCTAATAAGTGCACCAGTTTTGATGTAAGAAATCTTCCCAAAAATTGCAATATTCATTTTTGTTTATACTTTTGCATTTAATTCAAAGTAAGGTGACTATATATATATTATATTACTCGTACTGTCCTACATTCTATGAATCATAAAATCGTGTTTAGCTAATTTTTTTAAAATAATATTAAAAATAAAATCATGGATTTAATAAGTTCATCTTCAACCCATCAATTTCATTTATCAGTTTTATCTTTAGTTGATACACTAATTTTATTCCAATTATAACTTCATTTTTCACTATTATTCTTCAAATATTCAATTTTTTCATATTATTTTAAACAACTTTTTATCTTTATAATTTTAAATAAAATTTTTAAAAATCTAAAAAAATAAAAATTAAATTTAAAAGTAAAAAAATTTATAATTTTAAAAATTTAAAAATTTAAAAATAAATAAAAATAAAACAAATACACCATAAATGACGTTTGCTACCGTGCAATACCAAAAGCAAACACAAAAAATGGTGTTGCAATTGACACCCGATTGGAGACCGTCAGCGATATAAATGGGGTTGCAACGTTAAATTTGACGTTGTATTGGAGATGCACTGAGGGCTTGTTTAGTTTTGATTTGAGATTGAAGTTTTGATCTAAATTGTATTTTAAATTCTATTTAAATAGAATATTTTATAAAAATAAATAATTTATTTTTATTAAAAATTGTATAATATGAATAGTAGTGATTTTGAGTTTGAAAAAAAAAATCAAATTAAGAGTAAAAAGGAGTTTTTTTTAATTAAAAATTATATAATATAAATTATACTGCAATGTAATTTTCCTTTTAAAGTAAAAAAAAAAAAAAGAGAAAAAATCAAATTATTATAGATGAACAGTAAAATAAGTAGTTGAAAATATAATAAAAATAATAAAATATTTTTTCTTATAAATCATCACGTTCAAACTATTATTCAAATCTAATAACAAAATTAAACTTTGAAAAATATCCAAAATTATTTATAATCAAGGGTTTGAAATTAATCATTATATTCCAATATTAAATAAGAATTAAAATGTGTTTAGTTGATTTTTTTTCTTTATAAAATTTTTCTTTATTTGAATGTGATATTTAAAAAAATAATAATAATAATAATAAGAAAGAAAGAAAGTTATCAAATAACTAACCTTTGTTGGATATTGATATTTGTGTATAAACTTATTTTATCTCACTTAAATAAATATCAGAATTCCTTATAGATGTTGAATGACATAAATACCCTCCCGCACCGACTATTCTGTAAATCATTTTTCTTATATATTTAATTGTATTGCACCTATAAGTCGCTGTTTTAATGTAAATTATAAAAATACGACTTTTCAACCAAAGGACGACTTCGTCCACGTGCCATGCTTATTTATTATGACTTTTTATAAGTTTAAAAATATAAAAATACCGAACACGGTACAATGCTAAAATCGTTCAATAATATATTCAATTAAAAATAAAATAAAATAAAATAATAATAAAATATTTAGATTTGATTTATAATAGTATAATTGAACAAGAATAATGAATTCATTAACACGGAATTCATACCCATATCTAACTATAATCTATATATGAATATTGAAAAATTCCAAATTCATAAATTTCTCAATATATACAGATTACCATTCCCCAATTGTAACTTAAATTCTTTTTCTGCAATAATTCTATAATAGTTAAAATCCACTCATAATTAACTTCAGTTAATCTTTTAACCAAATTAGCAGCCACTAATTAATTTGAGAATTTAGACTTAACCCCACTTCAATAAAAACTCAACAAACTCTCGACGATGATAATAATAATAATAATAATAATAATAATAATAATAATAATAATAATAATAATAATTGCAATGAAGTAGAAATAAAGATAAAAAAACTAAACTAATATTATTATTAGTATTGAATGATATAAAAATAATGACATTTATGTAATATATTATAAATTGTAAGAGTATTTGTAATGTTAAATAGATAATAGAATTACTAAAAAATATATATATGAACATTTTTGTTATGGATGAACAAAAATGAAAAAAATTGATAAACTATTAAGGAAGAGAAATAATAATTTATAGGTGTCCTCCTCATCGTCTTCAATAATATTAATAATAAAAATAAAAATAAAAATAAGAAAATATTCTTACAGCTTTCAGTAACTCCATATGCAATCAAACAATTTCTTCCCAGTTTCAGACACACCAGAAGAATCCCCAATTCCTGGCACGTGTCTGAATCCATAATCCATAACCACACCAGAATCCAGGCCGCCGGCGCCGTCAGGGAACCCAAACGGCCCGCCGGAAAACGAGTCCGACTCAGCAGGATTCACAAAACAGGCCGCCGAAGAATTGGAGAAGCAGTGCACGTGACCACCCTGATCACCCGAGCCCAAACCCGAACCCGAACCCGACTCCATCAGCCCTGAAATATGCACTTTCTGCCCACCCGGATTCTTCTTGAACACCCGGGTAATGACCCAATCATTCTGCATACGACGACACAAATTTAATTACATCATTAACGTTTAATTTCGATCGATATTAATCAACAAACGGATCCCGGATCCTACCTTGTCGGGTTTTCCGGCGACGGCGAGGCGGTACTCGTGGGCGACCCAATTAGATTTCCTACCATTCGGGGCCCGACCCGTATAGAAAACCAGGGTTTTCTTCATCCCTACTAGCTCCTTCCCCCGGAAAATCTCCTTATCTTTTCCGGTGGCCTTCCAATAACCCGCCGCCGTCGCCCGGTTCGTCCGCTGCCCGGTCGGATACTTCCGGTCTCTAACGCAGAAGAAATACCACTCCTTCTCCCCGACCTTCGCCCTCCCTACAAAAAAAAATAAAACCTAAATTAATTTCAGATACAGATTTAAGAACACCAGAAACCCTAATCGAGCTTACACGGCAGCTCCCATGGCTCCACCCGGTTCATGTCGACCTCGCCGATGGCGGCGGCGGAGAAGCCGCCGTCGAGAACCTTCTGCGTCAGGTAATGAGTGATCAGCTCCTCGTCCGTCGGATGGAATCGGAATCCCGGCGGAAGTTCGATTTGCTCCTGCTGATGATGATGATGATCCATGGCTGTCCAAAACCCTAATTACTGTAAATTTATTATTTTATTTTTACCCCAATTTATGAAGAATACGTAGTTATTTAAATCCTAGGGCTGTTGGGTAAAAATCAGGCGAAGTGATGGAGCAGAAAGTGTAGGAAAATGTGAAAATAATTATAAATTAAAGAAGATTTAAAAAAGGTTTGGGGGAGAGAAAGGAATGGAGCATGAGGAAAATTAGGGACATAAATACTGAAAAAAGAAAACGTGTTTTTAAAGGTACGAAATAAATCCAAGCTTTATTGCAATGTGACCAAATACGTCTCATCTAATTCTGTACAAAGATTGCTGATTTAAATTCGCATTAAATTCCAAGCAAAAAAGATTGGATTTTCATTATTATTTTTTTTTTTCTGGGATTTTTATTTTTTTGGAAATTATTTGGTGGATGTGCAGTGGGATTTATTTATTAATTATTATTATTATTATTATTATTATTATTATTATTATTATTGCCTCTGTAATATGTATTGTATTGTGGAGAATAATTTAATGCTGTTTGGGATTATTTTCTTGGGATTGTGCGACTTTCTCTTTAAATTTTAATTTTGAAATAATATTTTTTATATTTAGTATTCATTTTCACCGTAACAATTGACATATTTGTTTTATTTTATTATATTTTATAATAATTGATATAAATTTATTTTTATTAAATTTTATTTATTTATAATATATTTAAATAATAAACATATTTAAAATATATCATTGTGTTCGATTTTTTTTTTTAAATTAAAGTGACTACTATCAGTCTATATATATAATCTATATATATAAAGAGAGTGTTTGGTAAAGAGTTCTTTTTAAAAAATTTAGCGATTTGATCAGTAAAAAAAGTAATTTACGTGTTTGATAAATTAATTTATAATATAATACAAACAGCTAATTGAATCAGCTAGTGAAAAAACCAGCTAACTGAATCCGCTAACAGTTAATTAAATTAGCTAATAACTAAAAGTTATCATCAACTAATTGTCAAACCCCCTCTTAAATTATACTCTATTTATCCCCCATTCATGTTCATATATATATTTTCTATTTTTATTTGTACCGTGTTAACGTATATAGTATATATTTTTTTAATAACTATGAATTTTAATTTTTTTAATAATTTTTTACTACCTTTAATTACTTATTACAAATAAAATATTACTCACTCCGTCCCATAACAAAGTATCCATTTTTCCATTTTAGTTCATCCTATAACAAAATATCCATATCCTTTTTTTAGTAACTGTATTATTTATCTAACATTATAAATACCCTTACAACTTACAATATATTACACAAATGTCGTTACATTTATATCATAGTTATTTTAGTTATTTCTATTTTATTCCTACTACATTCAAATATAATACTAATATTCTAAAACTACGTGCAAAAAATAAATTGATATTTACTTATGGGACGGAGGGAGTATTATTTTTTTAATTTCATGTAATTGTATACCTTACACCAGGATGTACGGAGTATTATTTAATTTTTTATAAAATATCAAATCAAATTATTATTAAAATAAAAATTATAATTAAAATTTAATTTCAAACTAAAAAGTTTGTTTAATTTTAATTCTGATTTAAAATAAAATATAAATTTATTTATTTAAATCGTATTTTAATATAATATTTTGTAAAAAAAATAATATATTTTAATTATATAGTAAATAATATTAATTTTATTTTAAAATCACAAAAGAAAAGACTCAAAATCAAGAATCCGTATTATATTTAATATTCTTTATTAGTAATTTATTTATCATTTTAATTTATCCATTCTAAAGTAAAATTTTATATATCAATAAAAGTAATTATAAATTACTATCACAATATTTTTAATTTTTATCAAAATTTTAAATATATTATTATATATACAATTATCAAAAAATTTATACATTTTCACTAACTAATAAAATAATATTATTTTTTAATTTATTATAAAACCCCAAAAAATTCTTTAAAGTGGAATAAAGAAAATAATAAATTTTATTAACTTAGTGCAAAGCACAAACAAACACACCCTATGTGTCATTCTATTACCGTATGTTAAAATATTTTAAATATTCGATTTTAAATTAACATATTTGCTTTTATATAGACAATACAAATTAAAACAAATTTGATAAACTTAAATTTAAATAATTTAATATATAAATAAAATAAAATATGAATATAAATTTATTAAATTTAAAATTGAATATTTAAAATATACCGTTCTACGTACGAATTTGACAAGAGGCAGCTGTCTGAATACGGAGAAACTGAATTTTATTATTATTATTATTATTATTAATTTTAATTTTACGAATTTCGATTATGTTCAATGTTCTGTTTGGATGAATAGACGATTTTGATCTTGTGTCATATGCTCCGTCCGCATGAAGCTTTCAAAATTATATGAAACTCCTGGACCAAAGAACCAGAAAGGTCAGTTATAAAATAATAAAAACAATATATATCTTTATTATCACCTACGTATGGATACGTATGCTTTTCTTTCATTTAACAGATTTCAATTTCATTCTCAATCTCCGTTCTCTCTATTTGGTTACTGCTATATATAAATCTTTGCATACATCCATACATATATATTACACGTCTATATTATATATTATAATATACACACGCTTATTACATACATATATCTTATATAATATATTATATACAATATATAAAATAGTGGTTAGCGGTAGGAATAATTAATATTTCTATTGGCTAATCCTATAATAATATTATAACACGTTATCAGCACGATTGTGCATTTTAATTTTTGCAAGGTAATATTTTATATTTTATTTGTTTATTATGACTAACCTTGCCAAACAGGAATTTCTCCAACTTCTCGTTTCTGGCCAAAATTATATGGCATGGGCTCGCGATGTTAAAATGCATCTAACTTCAATGAGCTTGGAAAATACCATTGTCCGGGATAAAAACTCTCCGAGCCAAGATCGTGCAAAGACCATGAGCTTTTTGTGCCATCACATTGATGAGGCACTGAAAATGCAGTATGTTACGCTGGAATCCCTGCTTGAATTGTGGGAGAGATTGAAAGAAAGATACGATCATTTGAGGCTGACATTGTTGACAATGGCACGAAGCGGATGGCAAAGCCTACAGCTTCAGGACTTTAAAACAGTCCAAGAATATAATTCTGTCATGTTTAAAGTAACATTACAGCTGCGCCACTGTGGCGAAAATATATCTGAATCTGATATGATAGAGAAAATTTTCTCCACTTTTCATGCCTCTAACATGGTTTTGCAGCAACAGTATCGCGAAAGAGGCTTCCAGAAATATTCTGAGCTGATCACCTGTCTTTTGCTGGCCGAACAAAATAATGAATTGCTGTTGAAAAATCACGAATCTCGGCCGACAGGTGCAAATCCATTTCCAGAGGCAAATGCAATACAACCGGAAAATACGGTGTGTGGTCGTGGGCAAGTCAGAAATCGGCGAATTGATCGCGATCGAAATCAGAATCGCGGACGGGGCCGGGAAAACGTATACAGTCACAATAATTATCAAAACAGGCCCTGATATGTGCCAAATCGGCGTTATAATGACAGAAGGCCGTACAGACGTCAACAGAGGATCAACACCGGGAGAAATAGAAATAATGACAATGAATGCACCCAGTGTGGAATCAAAGGCCATTGGGCCCATATTTGTCGCACAGCCAGTCACTTGGTTGAACTGTATCGGGCCTCAAAAGAAAGACATGGAAGAATTGCCCCCGAAAAAAATCACGCTGCCCACGATGACACATTTGACGATGTGATGAATGAAAATATCACGCACCTGGATGCCGATGATCTGCTTGACATAGCTGATGATGTTAAGTGATAAAATATTGTCGTATCTATTTTGTTATTTTGATGCTTTTTGCCCCCTTTTTGTATTACCCCTTATGATATAAGTCTATTTTGATTATGTTACTAATACATGTCTTTTATTATTTTTACCTTCTTGCAAAGATTTGGATGCCAAATATTTTGGAGCCGATGACAATATATGCCTTATCGACAGTGCTACGACTCACAGCATTCTGAAAAACAAGTGTTATTTCTCCCATCTGAATATGGGAAAGACCACAATTGTTACTATCAGTGGTGTATCGAAAATGATTGAAGGCTCAGGAAAAGCTACTGTATTTCTCCCAAAAAGGAAAAAAATGGCAATTGAAAATGTCTTGTTCTCGAGCAAAGCTCGAAGGAATTTACTGAGCTTCAGTGATATTCGGAAAAATGGGCATCATATTGAAACATTGAATGAGACAGAAAATGAGTATCTCTTGATAACTCAGATTGTGAATGGCAAAAGAATTGTGAAAGAAAAATTGCCATAATTTTTTTTCGGCTTATATTACTCAAAAATCAGTGTCATTGAAACACATCACTTAGTAGACCAAATGGCTACTAGCGAATTTAAAACTTGACACGATCAACTTGGGCATCCTGGCAATGTAATGCTGAGGTGAATTGTTGAAAATTCAAATGGCCACTCATTGAAAAAGAAAAATATTTTGTGTCCAAATGAATTTGCTTGTGCTGCCTGTTCCTAAGGGAAGTTAATAATCACGCCATCTCCAACAAAGGTTGGATTTGAATCCCCAGCTTTTCTGGAAATAATTCAGGGTGATATTTGTGGACCAATAGATACATTGTGTGGACCCTTCAAGTTTTATGGTACTAATTGACGTGTCAACGCGATGGTCATACGTATGTCTGTTATCTACTCGCAATCTAGCTTTCGCTAGACTAGTTGCACAAATAATTAAATTGCGAGCACAATTTCCAGATTATCCGATAAAGAAAATACGTTTAGATAATGCTGGAGACTACTCATCACATACATTTGATGATTACTGCATGTCAATTGGGATTACTGTGGAACACCCTGTTCCCCATGTACATACGCAAAATGGCCTGGCTGAATCCCTTATCAAAATATTGCAATTAATTGCTAGACCATTGTTAATGAGGTCTAAACTTCCTGTATCATGTTGGGGACATGCTATATTGCATGCAGCAGCCCTCGTGAAAATAAGGCCGACAAGTTATCACTGTTATTCCCCAACTCAATTGGTTTCTGGAAAAATACCAAATATATCTCACATGCGAATATTTGGGTGTGTTGTTTATGTTCCAATTGCGCCACCTCAACGCACAAAAATGAGACCTCAAAGAAGGTTGGGTATATATGTCGGATATGAATCACCCTCGATCACAAAATATCTTGAACCAACAACGGGTGATTTATTTACTGCGAGGTTTGCAGACTGTCATTTTGACGAATCACATTTCTCGACATTAGGGGGAGACAATAATCAACTGAAAAAAGAAATTTCGTGGAAAATACCACTTGAATTTGATCCTTGTACGAAATATAGTGAACTTGAAGTTCAAAGAATTGTGTATTTGCAGAAAATTGCAAATCAATTGCATGATGATTTTAATGATATTGCCAGAGTTACGAAATCATATATTGCAGCAACAAATGCACCAGCTAAAATAAATATCTCAGAAGGGAAGATGCCGAGTGCTAATGAGCATACTGCCCACGTAAAACGTGGCAGACCTTTGGGTTCCAAGGATAAGAATCCAAGAAAGAATAAAATTGTAAATACTGGTGAAGAGATCAACAATGATCAGATACCTGAAAAGGTTAGTACAACCCTTGAAGAGGTTGATACTAAAAATTCTGATGAAAGTGATGATGAAGTTATTGAAACTTCCGTTAACTATACCACAAGTGGAAAATATTGGAACAGAAAGAAAATAAATATTGATAATGCATTTGCATATTCTGTAGCACTCGATATAATGAAAGATGACGAGGATTATGAACCAAAATCAGTTTGACAAATGTCGGCAAAGAGATGATTGAGCAGAATGGAAAGAAACAATTAAGTCTGAATTGGACTCATTGAAAAAACGGCAAGTATTCGGCTCTATAGTCCAAACACCTGAAAACGTGAAACCTATTGGTTACAGATGGGTGTTTGTGAGAAAAAGAAATGAAAATAATGATATCACAATATATAAAGCAAGACTTGTAGCCCAGGGTTTTTCCCAGAGACCGGATATTGATTTTGAAGAAACATATTCGCCGGTCATGGATGGAGTAACATTCAGGTATCTGGTGAGCCTGACAGTACACAATAATCTTGATATGCGATTAATGGATGTGGTTACTGCCTATCTTTACGGCTCCTTAGACAATGATGTCTATATGAAAATCCCAGAAGGGATAAACATACCTGAATTATTCAAATCAAAGCCAAAAGAATCATATTCCATCGAATTGCAAAAATCTTTGTATGGGCTCAAGCAATCAGGCCGAATGTGGTACAATCGTCTCATCGAAAGCTTAACCAAAGAAGGTTATATAAATGACCCTATCTGTCAATGTGTTTTTATAAAGAAAAATGGGTCTGAATTTGTAATCATCGTTGTATATGTCGATGATCTCAATTGAATTGGAACTTCTGATGAAATTCAAAAAGCTGTTGAATATCTGAAAAAGAAGTTTGAGATCAAAGATTTTGAAAAAATCAAATTTTGCCTTGGTTCACAAATTGAGCACTTGGAAAGTGGAATCTTTATCCACCAATCAAATTATACCAAAAGGGTACTGAAACAATGCATGATGGATAAATCACATCCGCTAAGTACCCCAATGATCGTCAGGGCACTCGATCCAGCAAAGGATCCATTTAGACCAAAAAAGGAAAATGAAGAAACACTTGGCCCTGAAATGCCATATATGAGTGCTATAGGCGCATTAATGTATCTTGCCAACAGCACCCGACCTGATATATCATTTGCTGTAAATTTATTGGCAAGATTAAGTTCATCGCCTACTCGACGACATTTGAACGGGATTAAGCACATTTTTCGCTATCTCCAAGGAACGATTGATCTCGGGTTATTTTACTCGAAAGATTCTCGACATGAATTGATTGGTTTTGCCGATGCAGGATACTTATCTGATCCTCATAAAGCCAAGTCACAAACTGGCTATATTCTCACTTGTAGCGAAACAGCGATCTCTTGGAGATCGATGGAACAAACTTTAACTGTCACTTCTTCAAATCATGTTGAAATATTGGCAATACATGAAACTAGTCGAGAATGTGTTTGGTTGAGGTCAATGACTCAACATATTCTGAAAAATTGCGGGTTAATACCTGACGATAAAATTCCCCAAACTACATTGTATGAAGATAATACAGCTTGTATAGCCCAATTGAAAGTGGGTTATATTAAAAGAGATAGAACGAAACATATTTCACCAAAATTCTTTTTTACTCATGATCTTCAGCAAAATGGTGAAATTGATGTGCAGCAAATTCGATCCGATAATAATTTAGCGGATATTTTAACCAAGGCATTGCCGACGGCAACATTTGAAAAACTGGTGAAGAAAATTGGGATGCGTCGGTAAAGGGATCTCAAATAATGCTCAGATCAGGGGAGCGAATCGATACAAGAATGTTGTACTCTTTTTCCTTCACTAGGATTTTTTTTTCCTACAGAATTTTTTCCTAATAAGGTTTTAACGAAGCACATTCTCTATTTAAAGCATCCACGGGGGAGTGTTATACACGTAGCACCTTCGTAGGTGCTACATATAGATATGTATGCTTTTCTTTCCTTCGAGTTAAGGTTTGTTTACCTATATATATATATATGTCTGTAAATGAAATGAAATAACAGACTTCAATTTCATTCTCAATCTCTGCTCTCTCTATTGGGTTACTGCTATTGTATAATATTATATATATAAATCATTGGATACATACATACATATATACTATATATCTATATTATATATTATAATATACACACGCTTATTACATATATATATATATATTATAATATATTATATAAAATATATAAAATAATGATTAACGGTAAAAATAATTAATATTTCTATTGGTTAATCTCATAATAATATTATAACATATTACATATTTTTAAACTTAGATATATTGTCTCAAGTGTTTACTTTTATATAATGTTAAAAAAAAATTATAGTTTATTTATTGACCGTTCTTATACAACAATTGTTCTATTGCCCCAAACATTTATAACGTCAAATGTTGTTTTTACAGTATATCACATTTCTTAGAAGACCTTCGTAATTATAACAGGTATATCAATATATTTTTTATTTTTATATATTTAAATTTTTAATTTTTATTAGCATTGTACGATAATATTTTTTTATATATATAATTTAAAGGTGAATTACTTTTTAATATTTCATTATTTATTTATAACTATATAGTATTTCCAATTTATAAAAAGTGTGTCGTAATTATGGTGGATGGAGAAAGTATTATAAAACAATATAGAGTTTGTTTCTATTGCCCAAGAACCTTATTTGAATTATGTATTTTGAAAAAAATATATATCTTTTTTTTTTCGTAAAATATTGCTCATACATTATTTTAATAAAATATTTCATTTTTATTTTTATTTTTTCAAATTCATCCAAAGAAAACATACCCTTATTATATATATATACAACCTATATTCTATAAATAAAAATATATATGAAATAAATTAAAAATAACATTTTTAAATTAATATTAAAAATATTTTCTTATTTATTTTCAAATATATGAGGTAATGAAATAAAGGTCATAATGAATGCTTTCGTTACACATCAAATTACTTGATATATAAGATTAAAAAGAAAAAATATAAAAGATTCTTACAAACTATTACTTCCTCCGTCCATGCAAAAAATATACATTTATTTTTTGGACAGAGTTTAAAAAATAATTGTATTTTAATTATAGTGAATAGATAAAAGTAGTATAATGATATTTTTGCCTTTATTTTTTTGGTATAAAAGTAATGATGTGATGTAAAACAGAGGTATTTGCATAATATAATTGGAGGGAGTATTATTATTTTCTAATTACAAAATCCTAAGGGTGTGTTTCCTCGTGTGATTTGATGTTATATTTTATTATTCCAATTTTTATTTTTTATTTTTCTAAAAACATCACATCCAACACTTATTTTTTTATTTATTATATTGCATTAAAATTAAATTTTACATTTAAAATATCACATCAATATATATTTATATCACATTAACCAACTATTTCCATTCAAAATTTTACTATTTAAAATAAAAATCAAAACCTCAAATCTCACAAATAACCTTTGATTTGGGACGAAAGCAGCATAATAATTACTTACATTTGAAATATAAGTTAATTGTTTTTCTCACATGTACGATATCTGTATGCAATATGGAAATGATTAATAGTTCTTGTGGAACAAGTTTCGCATAATCTCCTGCAGAATCTATTTTGAATTAATCACCAGTGGCTGTACGCATACCGGCGAACAATGACTTGAAACGCATCATTTCCCTGGCTTCGTTGATCTTCCAGAATCAGCCTCGCAGACTCCTCTACTCCACTGCTGCAATTATATACAGTAATGGATTCCAGTGCTGAAATTTCCCCAATTTCCATGGGGATCTCCTCTAAAAGGCTACACTCTTCGATTTTGAGGCATTGAAGGCGCGGGAAGTGCATGTGGTCTGCTCTCCAATGCTTCAGCTCTAAAGATTCCATCTGCAGGAACTTGAGCTGCTGGAATTCCCCTTCTATGGCCTCCCACTCTTCTCCCTCGAATGAATTTATTTTTAGCCTCAGCACTTGCAGACTCGGAAGTGATCTGATTAATGTCATTTTATTCCATGGGAGTCCGCAACCAGACAAAGATAGCTTGTTGAGATACTGTGGAAAGGCAAAGTCGCTCCCCAAGGAAGTCCTGGAATGAGAATAAATGAAAATAAGATCAATTCGAAGCTCCTCAAGTCGGTGCAGGTGGAGTAGACTGCTGAGGCCATGCAACTCCCAGATTGCACTCCCGTCTCTCGAACAACATGATATTTTCAATTTTCTGAGGTTGGGAATCATTTCTACAGCCCTCTTGCTGAATTTGAAATCAACTACTCGATGGAGTGTTTGCAGATGTTCTAGTACTCGGACAGGCACAGGCATGTCTGTGTCCGCAGGAACAGGTGGCAATATCACCCCTTGATGAAATGTTACATGCCTTAGTCGCACCATTTGCCAGAACTCGGTTGGCACTATGATGGGGCGGCGCAAGGCAAACTTAGAACAAGAAATATTTAAGGTTTGGAGATTCTCGAGCTTGAAAATATTTGTACTAAGAAGGGATTCTTTACTCGACTTTATCCGCAGAGAGATGTACTTGACATGAAAATGTCGTGAGAATGCTGGTGCCGCAGCCCGAAGCTCTGCGTCGTACAATGTCTTCAACAATCTCAAGCTATTTTTTTCGAAGAAAGAGGCATCTTTCATCCTCACTCCTTTAAACCATAGAATCGTCCGGACATGTTTACGGGCACCATATTCTTCCCAAGGCTTACAGGATGATGATGATTCTGTGGCCGGGCTGCTTACGGTTACGGACTCATACACTTGCAGACACCTTTCCCAATCTAGCCCGTGGAAGAAACTTTCATGTACAGCTCGTCGTCTACAAAAATCTCTCAAAATATCATGCATCATGCAGAGCTTGAATTTCCCATTCGCCCTCTTCCTCATGATAAGAACAAGATTTCTTTTCACTAGATCCTTGAGGCATTCTTCCGCAGCTTCCTCTAAGGTTTCACATCCTTCGATTAATTTCAAGAATCCCTCCGCAACCCACAACCTTACGAGCATGCGCACATTGATTTCATAGTCTTCAGGAAAGCTTCCGATGTATAGCAAGCAAGCTTTGAGCAAATGAGGCAAGTGATTGTAGCTCAGAGATAGAATGTTCGACAAGTGTTCATCCTCGGATTTATTCAAGAATGAACGCACATTCTTCGAAACCTCTTCCCAATGTCTTGTTGCCCGGGAGTCTAAAAGGACACCGGCAATAACTACGATTGCTAGTGGAAGCCCTCGACATTCCCTGGCTACGGACTTTCCAATATCTTCCAATTCTAGAGGGCAATCTTGTTTTTCAAACACCTTCTCCCGAAGTAAGCTCCAACTTGCATCCGCATCTAGGAATTGTACCTGATAAAGAAAATCCGAGCTACGGACATAATTTGCCACATCTAACAACCTAGTGGTTAACAAGATGCGACTTCCATGAGAACCATTTGGGAATGCATGCTTTATATCATCCCAAACTTTAGTATTCCAAACATCATCCATTACAATGAGATATCTTTGACCTATTAAATGTTTGTATATAAGCTCCTCTAAGAATCCGGTTTCCTCTTCCTTTTTATGGAATTCATCCTTGCTAACACCCATGGATTTTAAGATGCTTAGAAAAAGCACATTTGCATGGTAATGTTGGGACACAACCACCCAAGCACGACGATCAAAATGATACACAGATAGCGGATCATCAAAGGCAGCTCTGGCCAAAGTGGTCTTGCCAATTCCGCCCATTCCAACGATAGGAATGACTTGGAGTTGGGATGATTGCCCACAGAGCTGATCTTTAATTTTGATCAGATATTCCTCAAATCCAACCATAGTAGTAATGTCAGTTGATGTTGGTGTCGACGTACCAGTAGGAGCAGAATTGTTCTTTCCTTGCAGATCTTCAGTCATCACCTTCAGATCTTTCACAATGGAATCCACATCTTGTTCCACCTTCAATAATTCATCCACAGCAAGTTCATGACTAGTAATGAACTCTGGCTCTCTCCCAATTGTATCGATCTGATCTGAGATCTCAATTTCAATAACATCCTGCGCTCGATACGCCACATCTCTTATGCGTGCTTCCACGTTGTCGCTGGCTTCGTCGCCTTTGGATGAATAATCTTGCAGTAATGCTTCCAGGGAGCTGAACTTTTCATGGAGAGTTTTTACGATTGGGTGCTTACAAAGAAAGAAGTTTGGATATTGAAGGATTATGTCGTCGAGTAAGTGCACAAGAGAAGCAAGAGCAGCATAATACGCCATTTCCAGCAACCTCCTTCTTCTTCTTCTTCACAAACAGAGAGAGAGATCAATATTGCAGCACTGTAATGTCAACGAAAGGATCTTCCCCTTGTTACATAAGAAATCATGTTTAGATTAGAATACAGTCAGACTTTTCCAACTTCACATGGGGACACATGTGATATCATTTTCTTTCTCTTTTTTTTAATCTTAAAGTAAACTGACACAAAGTTGTTATTAAATGTATTAAATGAAAGAGCAAAAATCAAAATTAGTTCCAATTATATTTCAAATTTTTATTTTTAGTCTCATTTAAAAAAAATATTATTAAAAATAGTCCCATACAAAAAATTAATTATCATAACTAGTCCTACCGTTAAATTTAACGGAATGGATGACATGGCTGTAACAGAAAAATTAAAATGGCATCTGACTTAATAGAACACGGGCGTGTTACCAATTAACACACCCGTGTGTGAACATACCTCAATACACAGTTCCTCCTCTGTTTCATCCGATTCAAGAATTGGAGGCCGCCGGAGACGACAGAGGCTCGTCGTCATTGTCAACCTTCAATACATCTCTTCTATTCTCTAATGTCTTGTTTCGTGTCTACTTTGGCTCTTTATGATCTTTCCTTCTTCTCCCCTTTGTCCTCCCCAATTCCACAATTTATCTTCTAGCCCTCCCCCACTCACCATCATCCATCCAGAAACTAACAAAAAATCAAGAAAAGCAGCAGTGCAGAAAACCATTCTGCACACCCATCACACCAGATTTGGTGGGTTTTTCTCCAATCCCTCCACCCCGCCCAAATTCTAAAACCTCCAATCTCCAGTGCGAAACTACTGTAGAACTGCCCAATGCCGCTGCTGCACTGTTCAGCAAATCAATCCCACAGAGCCCCAAACTCCATTTCAAAACCAGAAGCAGCTCCAGGTTGGGGCTTTCCCACCACTCTGCTCCGTCTTCTCTGCGCTTCCCCTCCGCCTTCTCTTTGCTCGAGTCCAACCTGGGCCTTTCAAAGGTCCATTTCAAGCTCTGCTCCGTCTCATAAAGTAAATTTTCATTTTCTTTTTTACAAGCAGTTTTAAAAATATTAAAATTATATTGGGATACAGTAGAAATAAAATATAAATGATTAAAATAATTTTATTAGTATATGTGATATAAAAGTAATGACATTTGTATAATATATTGTAAGTTGTAAGGGTATTTGTAATATTAGATAGATAGTACAGTTATGAGATGGACTAAAATGGAAAATTGGATACTTTGTTATGAGACGGAGAGAATATATTTTATTGGCTAAATTGCACAAAATCCACATGTGGTTTCATGAACCAAATCCTCCGTGCTTCTAAAATTACGTCAAACTCCTCGTGGTTTCATAAATTTTGCGTCTAACCCCATCAACGGTCCTTATTTAACGGTATTTGACTTAAATGCGCTCAAACTACAAATAAATTTTAGAATCTCAATTTCTAAACCCCTAAAATTACAAATATATTTATTTTTTATATATTTAGCCTAAAAAATAGTAAAAATAAACTCTTAAAACTTAAAAAAAAAAAAAAAAAAAAAAAAAAACTATTTTTGAGTACATTTACTATTTTTTAGGATAAATATAAAAAAATTAAATATATTTTCATTTGAGTTGGACTAAAATTGATAATTTTGTGAATTTTGTGCAATTTAAACTATTTTATTTACAAATTTTTAGCTAGCCGGGTATTTATGAAAGTATTCTTTGTTGATGGCGATATTGCTGCAGGGTACGTGTAAAACATGCTTGCTTGCATAGTGTGAAGACAGAGCAGGAAGCCACATGTTCAGACACGGACGTGTTCATAGGAAAAACGCCCGTGTTTCATCCAAAATAGTTTTACTTTTAATTTCTGATACACCACATCATCAATTCCGTTAAAATTTTAATCATAGGATTAAAATTGTTGATTACTTTTTATATGGGACTCGTAATGAAGATTAATTTATTGTACGTAGACCTGTCAAAATGAGTTAGTGGGGCATATTGACCCACAATCTATCTTGTGGAGACAACTTTCCTTTGTTTCGTGGAAGCACCGCAGTCCAATGGAGGGTGTTGTTTTCAACCCAATGGAGGCAGCAATTTTTGACCTTATGGAAACATTGTTCCGTGATGGAGGCGCCGTAGTCCAAAAAGTTGCTGTCCCAAGGTCCATGGAGGCTACTGCTTTCGGCCCTGTGGAAGCACCACAATCCACTGAAAGCTGTTGACTTCGGCTCTGTGGAGGCAGAAGTCTTTACCTCCAAGGCTTGAAGCTCCGTTGTTGTTGAGCGGCTCCGTGGCCAATGAGTTATGCCTCCACTTATGTATTTAAACATCCTTCTCATTCAGGTGTTTTTGGACCCATGTTCAACAGTATGTAATTATATATTTGTAATTTAAATAAAAAGTTAATTTAGTATACAATTATTTTCAAAAAGAAAAAAACAAATTGATACTTGAATGACACAAAATATTAAAAATAATATTTCTTTCGTCTCATAACTATGTATCTGTTTGCTTTTTGTACGAAGTTTTAGAAATATTAGTATTATATTGGGATGCAGTAGGAATAAAGTAGAACAAACGTAATGATATTTGTATAATATATTGTAAATTGTAAGGATAGTACGTACTAAAATGAAAAAATGGACAATGAATAAAGAGGGAGGGAATACTTTTAATTGAAATTGATATTCATGTATATGGAGTATTTTTCGGAGTAAAAATCATTTTTGGTCCCATTCAATATCAAAATTATCAATTTTGGTCTCATTCAAAAAAAATTATCAATTTTAGTCCCACTCAAATAAAAATTTATCAATTTTAGTCCCAAAATAATAATATTAATATTATTAAAAATATTAAGAATTGATTATTTTTATATTATAAAATAATTGTAAAAAATATTTTTGTTAAATTATAAATATATATCAAATAATTTTAACCAAAAAGTGAAAAAAAAAATAATAAATATGACCTACAATATGATTATATTGAAAACATGGTCGTGAACATGGCCTATATCATGGCTGTGTTGAGAGAACATGGACAGGAACATGACCTAGAACATGGCTATGTTCAGAACACGGACGGAAACACGGCCGTGTTGGTGCCTGGGACGCCCAGTCACCTTCTGAGTCATCCAACACGGCCGTATTCAAGCCAACACGGCCGTGTTTAGTCCTAATCAACCATTTTGGGACTAAAATTGATAAATTTTTATTTGAGTGGAACTAAAATTTATAATCGTTTTTTAATGAGACCAAAATTGATAATTTTAATATTGAACGAGACCAAAAATAATTTTTACTCTATTTTCCGTCTCTATATGATATAGAAAGCATTCACAAAAATACAATCGAACAAAGCCTTACAATAAAATCACGTTGTACGATTTGTCAACATCGTTCGTTAGACTCTGTGTCTATCTCTGTGAATCATCTCAACAGTCAGTCAGAGTAGTAAGTCAATCCCCGAAAAACCACTGCTCTGCATGTTTGTCGACCAAAACCAAAGCGTTCCCGTCGCCTACTGCGCAAACTCCAGGCTTCGCCAACAGCAATTGTTCTCCCTACTGCACACCGCCTGCAAAACTCTCAAACACCTCTCCCAAATCCACGCCCAAATCGCCACCAATGGATTCGCCGCCAAGAATTTCATCCTCGTCAAAATGTTGTCTCTCTACGTCGCTTTCGACAATTTCCCTCGCGCCCGCCAAGTGTTCGACCAATTGCCTGACCCGAGCACCGCAATCTGGAACCAGATTATCAGGGGATACTCGCGCGCCGGATGCCCCCGCAATTCGATCGAACTGTTTAGTGCCATGGGGCGCCGTTCTTCCGCGGTCCCCGACGGCCATACGTACACTTACGTTGTTAACGGGTGCACGAAAGGAGGATTGTCGGGAGAGGGCGAGCAGGTCCATGGGAAGGCTGTGAAGAGTGGATTTTATTCGAATGTCTACGTTCGGACCAGCTTGTTGGATTTCTATGTCAAAAATGGAGGAGAAGATGGAATGGGGAAGGCGAAGAAGGTGTTCGATGAAATGGGGGAGATAAGGACCGTTGTCACGTGGAATTCGATGCTTTTGGGGTGCTTCTCCGGCGGGGACGTTGATGGCGCACGAAGGGTGTTCGACGAAATGCCTGAGAGGAATGTTGTCTCGTGGACAACGATGATTGCGGGATACGCGCGGAATGGGAGATGCAGAGAGGCTTTGGCGTTGTTTCAGGAAATGCGGAACGGGAACGTCGAGTTTGATCAGGTTACGATGGTGGCCGTGCTTTCAGCGTGTGCTGAGGTCGGCGATCTGAGCCTTGGGAAATGGATTCATTCATACGTTGTTGATTTTTCCACTTCGGGGAAGCAGCGTGTGCTTATTTCATTGAAAAATGCACTGATACATATGTATGCTAGTTGCGGCGAAATCTGGGCGGCGTTTGCGGTGTTCAAAGGGATGGAGCAGAGGACCGTTGTTTCTTGGACTAGTATGATCACTGGCTTTGCGAAACACGGGCATGGAAACGAGGCGCTCAGTGTGTTCCGATGGATGGAAAGTGTAGAAGACGGCAAGGTTAGGCCTGACGCGATAACATTCCTCGGCGTTCTCTGCGCTTGCAGCCATTCGGGTTACGTCAAGGAGGGACGGCATTACTTTCGGAATATGATCGAGAGTTGGGGTGTTGAACCGATGATAGAGCACTTTGGATGCATGGTTGATATGTTAAGCCGAGCTGGATTATTGGATGAAGCGCACAACCTGGTAAAATCTATGCCGATGAAGCCAAATGACGTTGTTTGGGGCGCCCTTCTCGGTGGATGTAGGATTTACAAAAGTGTCGATCTTGCTTTAGATGTAGCTCATTGGTTGACGAGGGAACTCGACCCTCATCGAGCAGCCGGCTACTTTGTGCTATTATCCAATGTGTATGCTGACGCCAAGAAGTGGGAGGATGTGGTATCTATTCGGAGAAGAATGCTTGAGATGAAGACGAGGAAGCCTCCGGGTCGAAGCTGGATACAGATTGAAGGAGACGTGTATGAATTTACTGCGGGTGATAGGTCGCATAAGGACGTATCTTTAATCTACGACATCCTTGATGATATCATGAGGGAAGCCAGGTTTCAAGATGCGGATGAATCGAGTTAAATTGTTTTTGGAAAGTGACGGTATTGGCTCATCGAACCATTTTGAGGTTAGTTATCTAACTCGAGGTTGTTTACATACTCACCATTCTATCACTTGCCTTTCGATGACATTGAATTTTTTAATTTAGGTCTTGTTTGTTATGCTTGACTGCTATACATGTTCTAGTGTTTGTTGTAAATGAGTTCTTCTGTGAAAGTTGTTATTAATTTAAGGAAACCGATTTGTGCTTTTCGATCTTTGAAAATGCATGTTCGTATTTGCGAAAAGAAGCATATGATTGTTGGTTATATTGGAGTTGTGTATTCTGTCGATGCGCGTCATCCCCATGATTCATTTACTAGATGAGCTCGATTCGATGCTTTTCCTGCTTCGTCGATTTACATTTGTTGGAAGCTTGATCTCCAATCGAGTAGACGACTTAGGATTGGGATCGAGTTTGAGTATCTTTTTCTATATACGATATTGAGGTGCAAAAATGAAACTTTACGATTAAACTAAGCTATGACGAGCAATTTGATTATTGACGAGCATTCATCTTAATGCTCGGCTCAAGGATTCAAACACAAGACTAGCTGATCTATTACTACGTTAAATTAGCGATATAATTTATGACTCTACATTAGCGAATGTGTAATTCTATAATCATTTCTATGTAAGTAAATAACAGAGTCGAGTCGAACCATTTTAGGACATCGAAGCTAGTCCCATAACTTTCGATATACTTATAAACTGATACATGCTTGAAATTTTCGCGATATTTAACGGGCTCTTATATATGAATTTTGTACATTCGAACTACGAAATTCTGGCCAATAGACACCCCCTTGCAATTTGGTAGGCCAACCCCTTTGTCTGAAATCGATGTATCATAACAGTCATGTGTTTTATTTCCTAAATCTGTAGATGATATTTTCGTGAACCATTGCATCTAGAATAGGCTTCCCAATCTAGGCTAGTTGTTCGGAATCATTTAGTAGGTCTCTACTTTCATTGCACTACATGTAATTGACATGACAGAGTGTGACATGAAAACCTCGTGCTTTTTAAATCCTTTTCGAGCACGTGCTGATTTTATTACATTGTGCTTTCTGATGATGTGTCGATACGATATATTCAGAGATGTCTGAAGCGCTTTAGTTTCTTAGCATATGTATGGAAGGATAGCGAAATAAGTTAGTCGTAGTCGATGTAGTTGTCTAAATGCTTAGTTAACTATTCTTCTAACAAGAAGTGATCGAATCTTTCAGAATTCAGCTCGAATTAGATTGAATTTCTTGAAATTAGTACGTTCAATTAGAAAGTAGAAGAATGCAGGATTATAAATAGGGCAATGGTTTGGTACTGAAAACGACGTCTGCCCTTTTACCATTTCTTTTGAATGAAACTAATTTTTCTTACAAAGATTAGTTAAGGGAACAGAAATATTTCGATCGCGAACTATCTGCAAAGTATGCATAATTTTAGATCATAGTTTCTATAATGATCGAACTTACTCTTTCGGGATTTGTCTTAACTCCTCTTCTCGAGCGCGCTCTAGTTTATTCCCTTTTTTAGAAACTCTTTTAACGTCTTAACTTCTTGTCCGGTTGCTCTCTTTTTCGGTTTAGTGAAACATCCTAGTACTCTATTAATCACACTCTAGTGTCTGATAAAACTAATACTTTCTTAAACCTTCCAAATTTGAACTAATCCTGTACTGACAACCACGAGCTGATTGATTATACGTACTCGTTTTGGGCGAACATCGATCTTAAAGAATGGATCTGACAGAATATCTATTCCTTCAGGCAGTATCCCTTGTAGAAATCTTTTAGTTTTTAATTTTCGAACATTGCTGAAATCGAAAGATATGATAGTTTTTGAATCAGAATTCGTTGTTGCTATCAGCGGTAAGAGCGTTATTTGATACTGTTGTAGTAAGCCGTGTAGATAACAGATAGGATCGAGTAGCAAGTGTAACTAACAGTTAGGTGTGCCTTTAGAATTTGGCAGGCCAACCTCTTTGTTCGACGATCTCGAAATCCCAATAAAAGGATCACGAAATGAGATGGTTTCCGCAACAAATTTTTTGGAGCGGGGTGGTTGGGAAGGCAAGTGGACTATAGTTCGTTAGGCTCGTTCCCTGTTCTCAAGACATCCTCGAATTATTTCTTGGTATGCAATATGTGCGAAACGATACCCTCCGGAAAGGGAAAGGCCGTCGTGCATAGCAGCAGTAGCAGTCGAACTGATCGTAGCAAAATCAGAATTTTACTCTGTGACGTTGATGCAGAAAGTTGCGGCGAAATACTAACTCATCTCTCCCAGTGCTCTTACCAGGGTCGCCGCGCGCTTTTCTTACGCGCTTTTTATACTTTCGAAAATATATATATATACACACTGAATTGACGAATACATTTTGCGCGTTTTTGCAGTCGCAGCCGTGTGGTCTCCGAGAGAGGTGCTCGACACGGTGGACTCGCAAGGACCTCTCGCGGATATCATTCTCGTCGAGGTGGGTTTATTAATGGCAAACGACGCACTTCTGCTGCGACACATTATGGACGAGAAGCGACTGCAGCGAATCCCCGTCGTCAGTAAGAAACCAAGGCTGTGTTTGCTTATGGTTTCGACTTTGTTTTCGCATTATTCATCGATTTTTATTTTTTTCTTTTTTGCGGCGAGCGCAGTTATTACGACGCAGGACAAGGTGGCGGCGTCGGTGAAGGGGCTGAAACTTGGAGCTGTGGATTACCTTGTGAAGCCTCTGCGTGAGGATGTGCTGTTGAATCTATGGATGCATTTGGAGAGGTAGACGGAGAGACAGCCATTGCTGGTTTATCTATTTCCATTTTAGAGCTCACCTCAGCTCAGCTTTTATTTAGTGTCACAATTATTCAGTTTTATTGTTTACTGCTGGGGGTCACTTTCTTTTTAAAAAAAAAAAATTTTAAAAAAAAAGGAAAAAAGAAAAAGAAAACGTTGTCCTAACGATGATGTTTTTGTCGTAATAAGGTTGATGTTTAAGGAAATTATTACTCCCTCAGCCCCCACTTTCCTGTATTTTGACTTTTGTGTGTTTGTCTGGGATTTTGGATTTTGAGTTGGGATTTGAATAGTAAAAATTTTAATTTTGAATAGTTGTATAATCTGTGTTGATGCGATGTTTCAAATGTAAAATTGATTTTTAGTATAATATAAAAAATGAAAATTAGGTTTTTTATTTGATATTTTTTGGAAAAAAAAATTAGATGAACAGTGTAAATCTAATCCCAAAAAAACACATAAGATCATATATTTTAATAGTATTTTTAATTTAATAATTTATATTTTTTTAATTTTTTATTAAATTATAAAATTATTTTAATTTTAATTTATAATTGTTTATATTATATAATAATTATTTTATTAATATGAAGTATTTTGTAATAATTTATTAATTATAATTTTTAAAGTTTTTGTATTCATAGTAACTTTATGATTTTATTTTAATTAAATTATTTAAATATTTAAATTTTAATTTATAATTATTTTATTAATATGAAGTATTTTGTAATTATTTATTAATTATAATTTTTAAAATTTGTGTATCCATAATAAATTTATGACCTTATGGGAGACATAGGGGAATATATAATTATTATCCATAGTTGGAAACTTAATTAGTATTTTCTCCGACTTTATTCAAAATATTGTTTACCGTTTCATCTATTCTATTTCAAAATATTTTTTTTTTTATTTTAGAAAAGATAATCATAAAGTAATATTAAAATATCTTAAATTTTTACTTAAATTACAAATATACGATTACACATACATAAAGTCAAATGCAAAAATATCATAATATTTTATACACTTTCACTCATCAATAAAATATTATTACTTCTTAATCTACTGTAAAAGAGGGTTGTTTGGTTGTATTATTTAGTGTTTACCATAGTTTTTGGGTATGAAAAATTTATAAAATTTTATATTAAATTATTAATTTTTTATGATAAAATAATATATTTATATTAAATATTATGTTGATATATATGTACATATTAGTACCTACGTTTTGCCGTTTACAGAGTACTATTGGTTTTTTAAGTATTAAGTTTTTAAATATTAGTAGTTATTATATTAATATGTAATAAAAATTATGGGAAAAAAAAAATATTTTTTATTAGTGTTATATAATATAAATATAATGATATTTGTGGAGTAATGTATGCAAATATAATAGTAATATTTTTAATATTTTTATATTAATGTAATATATTTTTTTATAATATTAATTGAAAATCATGTCAAAAAGGATGAATAGATACAATATTGAAAATGATAAAATTAAAAATACTAGTATTTTTCATTATTTTTCTTTACAGTAAATTTTTTCTCTTTCAAAATTCACACAAAAAATTTAAATATCTAATTTATTTTTTTTAAACAAAAATAGCAATTTAAATGTAATATTTTTAATAAAAAAATATATTTCTACAAACAATGATCACAAATTTAAAAGATTAAATAAAATTATGTCACTTTGTATTTTTAGATGAATGCAATTTTTTATGTTGTGTACTATAAATTATGTTAATAATAAAAAAAGTAATATTTATATTAAATTATTAATTTTTTATATAAATAAATACAATATATTATGTGAATCTATATATATTGTATCTTTTTAAACGTATTTATAAAAAATTATTTCAAGTCATATCATATCCAAACCTTTGTTACTTTTAAAAGAGTTCAAGCAATATTCATTTTTATTTTTTAATATTCACATTTAAAAAGAATATCATAATTGCCCTCAAACTAGACGCAAAAAATATTAGACGAATTATGTGTGATAAGTAAGATCCGCGTCAAAAATTTAAACTTATGACCTCGCGATTACGAATCAATTCTCACACTATCAGATTGTCCGGTACGGGACAATATATATTTAATGTTTGAGCACATATTTTTAATAAAAATGAATAATATCTTCTACTTTTTTTTTTTTTTTTATAGTAAAAAAACTAAAAAATATATTTATATTTTATTATAAATTTTTAGATAACGAATAAAAATTACTCCAAAATACAGACAAAAAGACACCTGAAATACAGTAGACATGTCAGTATTAATGGAATAATTAATTATATTATCCCACAGGCCCCATATGATTCAATTACAGGCCAACCATTAACCACTATTTTATTTTCATTGATATTTAATGTATATTTAATCTATTTTATATTTATAAATGTATTTATATCGACACTCATTTTACACATAAACTTACACAAACAAAAATGAAAATAAACTTAAGTGAATTTTTTTTTCTTTTTTTTTTAAAAAAAAACATAAATTAAAGGAATTAAAAGGTAGGTGAGACGAGATCCGATACGAATACATATTGTTGTACCTGATATCTGAATTGAATCCCGTTGTACACGGAACCGACAGACCTGGTCCCAATCGAACAATATCCGACAAGATCCGATTGATCCGACATAACCGCAAAATTTTTTTACAATTTTTAAATTGTAATTTAAAATTGGATTCGAACCTGAATCTGGATCCGAATATATTAAAAGTTATATATTTTACCAAAAATATTATAATAAATAAATAAATAAATACAAATTAAAAAATTGATATACTCACTCCATCCCATAACAAAGTATTCATTTTTCTATTTTAGTCCGTACCATAACAAAGTATCAATTTCTTTTTTTTGTACTATCTCCTAACATTACAAATACCCTTACAACTTACAATATATTACACAAATGTCATTACCTTTATATCACACGTACTAACAAGATTATTTTAGTCATTTCTACTTTATTCCTACTATATCCTAATATAATACTAATATTTCTAAAACTACGTGCAAAAAATAAATGAATACTTCTTTTTAGGACGGAGGAAGTAATTTATATTGCTACATTTCATATATATAATTGGCATGCAATAATACTTTATCCATACCCAATTTGATGCCCGAATAATTGGATCCAACCCCAAATAAATAGATGGTCGTGATCTGTCTTGAGTGTGACCCATTGTCATGCCTAGACTGCTCTTTGTCATTGGTTGTCCATTAGTTTGGATTAATATCTCAATATTCCTTTAATTCTCTCTGTTTCAAACACTCTAGAATATCCTTTTTTGTTTGTCTTTTAAACTTGATGTAATATTTTCAAATTTTAAAATAATTAATTATATATATATTTCACTTTATCCAATCATATTATTTAAATAAAAAAAATAAATATGCATTTATTTCTCCAATCATATCATTCATTTTAAAATTATCTCAAATTATCTACTTATTACTACTTATATAAATTCTTGTGTCGAATTCAAATATTGCACGGTATTTGGCGCAAAAAAATATATTTGAAGTAAAACATAATGAGTATTTTTTTTAAAAAAATACAGTTTTGAGCACACTTTACAGTAAAGTTCGACCAGTCTAACCATAGGACATTTAATTACAAATGTGGGCCCATGTGGGTGAAAAGGGGCCCACAAGGCCCAAAAAGCAAGGCCCGAATCTATCTGTAAGATTCACACTCTGCACTATTTAACAAATCCTTGTGGGTGACGTGTCATCTCCTCTATCTCTAAAAACCTGCTGCTGCTATCTCACTCATCACCCACTTTCTCCGCCGGCCCCACCACCTCCTCCGCCTCCATCCCCACCGTCGCCTCCTCGATCTCGACGCACCACGTTGCGACAACTGTTCGGGCTCCCCACCATCACCCAAAGTTGGAGAAAAAGCGCCATTAAAATATCCTGCTCTTTTCTACGCCAATCCAGATTTGAGTTAGCTGCAATTTTCTGTGTGGATAGATTTTTGTTGAGTTGATTCCAGGGGAGGAGCGTTTCCGGTGAATTTAAGGCTGTTGGATTGGAAGCCGATCTGAGCTGAGGGTGTTGGAATTCAATTGGTTGCTTGGTTGTTGGTTCTTCGAAAGTTTTTTGAGCTGGTGGATGGCGATGTGCCGTCGGCGTAGGTCCTTGAATTTGATAAATTTTTTGGGGTTTAGGGATTTGTATTGGTAACATAGGGAGGAGAATTTTGGAAATTTGTTGGGAATTATGTTTCGGTAGGCCTGAATTGCTCTGATTTTGGATCCTTGGTTGATAAGGTTTTTGGACGTGCAACTATGGCGTTTCTGTAGTACTGACAAATTTGGGGGTTTTGTTGGAAGTTGGAACCCTAATTTTGTAAGAATCATTAGGCGTTGGTTGTTGGTGCAAGAGATGGAGAAGAGTGATATAGGGAAGAGTGGGGAGGGATTTATTGATAGAAGTAAAGTGAAAATTCTGCTGTGTGATAATGATGACAGAAGCTCTCAGGAAGTTTTTACACTTCTTTGTAAATGTTCTTATCAAGGTATTTTTTGCTTTGCTCTTTATGGTTCTATCTTTTGTTGAAATGCTGATTAATTTGATCATTTGTTAGGTTTGTTTAATTTGGTCATTTATTGATTAGGATGACTTTAATGTAATGTGTTTTCGATATGATTGTGTTAATTATGTTGTTGAAAAAAGTTAGAGACAGATCATCTTGAGTTCTTGAATTTGAGAATAATTAGGTGAGGAAGTATTTAGTCAATGTTGATTGGTAATACGTAAGAATTGGATCTTCTTGAAGCTTTAATTCATGTGTGTTTCTTTTGCTGAATTGCTTATTATATTAATATGGACAATTTTTCGGGTTTAATGTGTCGGGCGATTGTTCCAAGTTGTGTTTATTTTGGAGTAATATGTATGGATTAGGATGACTTTAATGTGTTTTCGATATGATTATGAGTGTGTTAATGTCTATTGTTACGAAAAAAAAAAAGAATGGGAGAAAGTTCATATGGAGTTCTTGAATTTGAGAATAGTTATGTGAGGAAGTATTTAGATGCTGTTGATTGGTAATACATAGACTTGGATCTTCTCGTAAGCTATCACCGATTAAAGTCTTAATTCATGTGTGTGTTATATAACTAACTCCAGCACACCAATATTGAACTTTGGATGAAGTTTACGAACATAGTAAGAAAAATTGTGTGGCGATTTATGCATGTGAGTGACATCCCTTTTATGGTTTCTCATCGTATGTGGTTATACTTTCCAGTGATTTCTGTGAAGTCTCCGAGACAAGTGATTGATGCCCTAAATGCTGAGGGTCTGGATATAGATCTTATTCTTTCGGAAGTCGACCTTCCGATGTCTAAAGGTTTGAAAATGTTGAAGTATATTCGTAGGGACAAAGAGTTGCGGCGCATCCCTGTGATCAGTATGACCTTAATCCGTTTGTTTGATTGTTATTATTATTTTTGTCCTCTTACTGCAATTTCAATGTATGCTTATACATTTGGAAGAAACTAATTAAATTGCAAATCTCTCGTCACTTTTCTGGCTTCGCTAGTGATGTCAGCTCAGGACGAGGTCCCTATAGTTGTCAAGTGCCTGAAATTCGGCGCTGCTGACTATCTTGTGAAACCGCTGCGCACAAATGAGCTGTTGAATTTGTGGACTCACATGTGGAGAAGAAGACGAATGGTGCACATTACACCTTTTTATATCGATAATCTGCAGTTTTTCTTTTTTCTTTTTGGAAGGTTTTTGTCGGGATTATGTTGATATCTCAAAGCAAAGCCTGTGCTTCTTTTTGTCGTCTAACAGCTAGGACTAATGGAGAAGAACATTGTAAGTTATAGTTTTGATCTGGTTGTGTCAGACCACAGCGACGCTAATACCAACAGTACGACGCTGTTTTCGGACGATACCGACGAGAAGTCTCTAAAGAGTACGAACCTAGAGGCATGTGTCGTAGCTCACCAAGAAGACGAGGTTTGTGATGATTTGATTTCAATTTTTATTCGATATTTTGAATTTTAGGATGGATTGATGGTATGGATCTGATATTCGATGGATTTACGCCTCTTTTGCTGGGATCTATACTTTCAGGCTATTACCAGGGCTGTTACGCCGATGATTTTAACAAATGGAGCTCGTCCACATTGTCAACCCGATGTTCCGGGGATAAGCGACAGACGGACAGGTGGACGAATTGTCGAGTCTATTCAATTCCTTACTCATATCGTTACACGACATTTACGATCCATTTTTTTCAGGACATATCTCGTCTTTTCCGAGGAAGAGTGAGCTGAAGATAGGCGAGTCGTCTGCCTTCTTCACGTACATTAAAACGAGCGCGTCGAAAAGCAATAACCAAGGCGCTTCTTCCGTTACGCTACAACAAATCACGACTTCAGACACCCCCGTCCCGAGAGGTCAACTCTGTCCCGACGCACGAGTAAAAGACAAAAATGTGTCCGTAGAAAGGAACGATGTTCGCGCAAACGACAGCCCGAGCACGACCAGTTTATCGACCGAAGAGGGGTCGGGAATATCCCACCGGGGTGTCTCGAAGGAGTCGCCAGTTGTCGTCGGGGGTTACCCCCACGGCACATACCCGTACCACATGTCGATGATGCCGTTACCGTCTCTGCCGAGCGACGCTGGTCCGGGTTTCCTACCTCACTATAACCAAATTCCGGGGACAGCGTCGTACCCGTTTTACCCCTTCGGGATATGCCTCCAACCGGGTCACCATCCACCTCCGCCGCCACCGCAGCCATGGCCGTCATACGGAGACCCATCAAACGAAGCGGCAGCGACAACGAAACTCGATCGTCGAGAGGCAGCATTGATCAAGTTCCGGCAGAAGCGCAAGGAGAGATGCTACGACAAGAAGATCAGGTACGTCAATCGGAAGAAACTCGCCGAGCGAAGGCCCCGACTGCGCGGCCAGTTTGTCAGGAAGGTTAACGGCATCGATGTGGATCTCAACGGCCGACCGGCTTCGACTGAAGATGACGACGAGGAAGAAGATGAAGAAGATCAGCAAACGGGGTTGGAGATCTCGACCGGGAGTTGATACTTCAACGCCCTGACTATGAACACTCGGCGCTATCGTATGATCAGGTACTCGATCGTAATCTTTTTCCGTTTCATCGTCGTGTATACCTTTTTGTCTGACTGTAGCTTTGTTCGATGCTTGCGATGCAGTCAGGACGATAGGACATCGATCGATGGCGCTCGTTCGACGGCGATTTGGAGAAAATTATTGTCGGAATTACGGCAAATTGTTACGTAAGATCGGCATTTGTTTTAAGAAATTGTTTGTCGTGCTATGCAACATTTAATTATTATCCTTTCATGGTAGAAAATGATATTGTGTTGATCGGCCCTAATCAGCAAGATACGTTCGATTAGATTATACCGTTGGATCAATATTGCATCTGACGGTCTAGATTTAAAACAAAAGAAGTAACAATTAAGTAGTATAGCATATTTATTTTAAAAATAAAAAACACCCTAAAATAGAATGGCATTTAAGAACACGAGGTATGTTTGTTTTGTGTATATATAAATTAAATTTGTAATAAATATTATATATATATATATATTTATAAAATATTATATGTGATTTTTTATTTTTATCTTAAAAATAGAAAAGAAAATTAAAAACACCCTGAATATTTATTCATTAATAGGTGAGCGAATCGGTGGGTTTATAGACTATGGTCGTATACAAATACAGCTGTAATCATCGAGGCCACTTTGAATAATTTATGAAAATTATTTTTTTCTAAAATAAAAATCACGTAGCGTATTCACGTTGCCGTTTCTGTCTTTCCTACGTACCATGTCATTCTCCTGCACTTTAATTAGATAATAAATACATTAAATACAACAATTTTGTCTTCTTAAAATTTGATTTGTGTTTTTATTCATTTCGATATATAAATAATAATCCTTACGCTTAAATAGTGGAATATTTGTTTCTAGCGTGTTTTTAGGAGAACTTAGGTAATTGATAATATTGTTTTGAGACAAGACAAAAATAAAAAATAATAATATTTGAATGAGACAAAAAATATATATTTATTTGAGTGATGTAATAGAATAAAATATTTTTTCCGTTCACAAATAAAGTAAATATTTATTTTTGGTGCCCAGTAACAAATAAATTGAAGCAAGTACAAATATTTTTAAGACATCGAATATTAAGAACTAATTTTACTTAAAAAAAAGAAGAAAAAAGATAACTACAATATATTAATTATCCTTAATTACAATAGTCAGTAGGCAGCATTGCATTAATTAAGCAAAGTTAAATATAATTAGTCTCCTAATTACTTTATTATAAACACAATTATTGCACCAAAAGCATAATACGCTACGATCCGACGAGCGAGCGCGTTGGCGGTGAAACCATGGAAGCTTACTTGACCTGACCAGAGTAGACGCGCTGAATCTGAATCTCACTCCAATCCTCTCCATAAACGCCGCGATTCTCTGCATCAGTAGCATTTCCGACGTTTCAGCACCGGTTTGTTCAACAATTGCACCCTCAATCGCTGTCGGTTCTGCTTCGCTACAGTTGCAGCGTTAGGTGAAAACTAAAAACTATCGGTGAATTTCCGAAGCTGCATTGATCGGGAAGAGGAGCGGCGGCGGATGCTGAAATCGAAGTCCCGAAGGTAGTGATCCGATCTGTTTCGATTCGTTTGTTTCTACTTTTTTTAAAATTTTTGGTTTTCGAGCGATCGATGGGGTCGGAAGGCACGTTTTCCGCTCAAAAGCGAGCGAACGCGCTTCCGACGACGCGCGGACGCGGAACCGCCGGCGGCGGCGGCGGCGGCGTTCAACTTCCTCGAGGGCGGCAGCAGATCCACAAAACCCTAAACAACATTAAGATCACGATCCTCTGTGGCTTCGTCACTATTCTCGTTCTCCGAGGCACGATCGGACTCGGCGGTCTCATTTCCACCGAAGCCGAGGCCGAGAATCAGCATCTCATCGAAGAAACAAATCGGATCCTCGCCGAGATCCGCTCCGACAAGGATCCGACGGATCCGGATGATCCGACGGAGGAGTTTTTCAACCCTAACATGACCTTCTCGTTAGGACCTAAGATCACAACCTGGAACGAAGACAGAAAGGCATGGCTGGAGAAGAATCCCCAATTTCCCCAATCTGTTAATGGAATCCCTAGAATTTTGCTAGTGACTGGCTCCCCACCTAACCCCTGTGATAATGCAATTGGGGATCATTACTTGCTGAAAGCAGTGAAGAACAAGATCGACTACTGCAGAATTCATGGAATTGAGATTATCTACAACATGGCACATTTGGACAAGGAGATGGCTGGATATTGGGCGAAGCTTCCTTTGATTCGACGCCTGATGCTGTCGCATCCGGAACTCGAGTGGATATGGTGGATGGACAGTGATGCATTGTTTACAGATATGGTGTTCGAGCTTCCGGTGATGAAGTACAAGGATTATAACATGGTTATCCATGGTTATCCCGACTTGTTGTTTGATCAGCGTTCATGGATCGCGCTGAATACCGGTAGCTTCTTGATAAGGAATTGCCAGTGGTCGTTGGATTTGTTGGATGCGTGGGCGCCAATGGGGCCTAAAGGTCCGGTTCGCGAGGAAGCAGGGAAGGTCTTGACGGCGAATTTGAAGGGGCGGCCAGCATTCGAGGCGGATGATCAGTCAGCATTAATTTACATGCTGATTACAGAGAAGGATAAGTGGATGGACAAGGTTTTTGTGGAGAATTCGTTTTATTTGCACGGATTTTGGGAGGGTCTTGTGGATCGGTATGAGGAGATGATTGAAAAGTACCATCCGGGGTTGGGGGATGAGCGGTGGCCGTTTGTGACGCATTTTGTGGGTTGTAAGCCTTGTGGGAGTTACGGGGATTACCCGGTTGAGAGATGTTTGAAGAGTATGGAGAGGGCTTTTAACTTTGCCGACAACCAGGTTCTGAATTTGTATGGTTTTAGGCACAGGGGATTGGTGAGCCCGAATATTAAGAGGATTCGTAATGAGACTGTTACGCCATTGGTGTACGTAGATCAGTTTGATATTCGGCATTTGGCTGATCATAGCAGCGGGTCAAAGGTGTAGCCAATGTGTCGTATATGTCACAACGACCCCTATTTGTAGGTAATGCCTAAATCTAGTATTGCTTTTGTTGGAATTATTTGCAATCTTTGAAGTAATTTGAAATTTCTTGATCTGCTATTATTGACTAAGGATTAGTATGCTCTTGATTATAGCGATTTGGCATTGAAATTTTTTTGTCCCATCGATGTTTTGATGCTAGGAAAGCATTATTATGTTACTCTCCTCATTAATGCACTTGAGTGAGTTTGTTTGTATTTGTGTTTTGGATTTGAATTTGAATTCTTGTCAATGGAAATAAGCTTTGGATCTTATATTTTTTCGAGTAAAATAATATTTTATGGTAGATTGCATATTGTGAAAATAAATTATGAAAATATAGACAAACACACTGCTAGTTTTATGGTAGCTGCATATCTATGTTTGGTTTTAGTACCAAATTATTGTCTCTCATCTCTATAATGTTTGATATTTCTATAGCTTGATTTCTTTCATAAACAGAAACCCCGAATTTGGGATCTCATTTTTCTTTCTCGTTGCAGTGTGTGTGATTTCGCGACGCGGAGAAACCAAAGAAACTTTGAATTCAGCAGTGTTATAGAGAGGGGGAAAGAAACCAAAAAAGGTTCTTGGTAATTTCTTGTTGTACGTTATCTTCTTTATTGTCATTTTTGTCAATACCAGCAAGCAAGCAAACAAAAAAATTCCTAATTTATTCTTCAAGGGTGTTACACTCATATATGATATATATATATATATAGTCTCTACTTGTAGACTACATTTTAGGGCAAGTATAGTATTATTTATTTATTTATTTATTATGATGAATTATGATACAATAATGTTTTGGTTATTTCTTCTAGTGATGAGTAGTGTTTGTTGTGAAGAATGAATAATGTTGTTTTGTAATGGGTGTGGCCCCAACTCCAGAGGATAGGGAATTAAACCAAGGTTGTGTGTCAAAAACAAATTTGTGATGAAATATATATATATAAAAGGCAGAAGTGGACAAGAAGATGATGATGATGATGATGATGATGAATTGGTGCGGTTACCTGGTAAGTCTTCTTTTGTCTGATCCTTACCTCACCTGACCTAAGTTAAGGTGTGTATATGTGTGTGTATATATATATATATATTGTATTTGTATGTATGTTATGCTGTTTCCATTGTCTTAATTGAAGTTTTTTTGTTGGCATATTAGTCAACTGGTTTTGAGGAAAATGATTTTTGTGCAAGGGTTCTATTCTTTTGGATGTAGCCTAAAATATAGGGTGTGGTTTATGGGTGTTTTTTCTGTGGAATATTTTTAAGGAAAGTGAAATAATTAAATAGGGAAAGGTTACGGTGCTGAATTTGAAAAATTAGCACTACGTTGATTCTCCAAATCAACACACGTAAATATAGAAACAACACATCTTTATTGTATACAACATGTGTTGTTTGTAATAGAAACATGTACCGTTAGTTCATAATAAATATAGCATGTGTTGTTAGGTTATGTGTTGTATTTGTATTATATTAAAATATACTTTGTTTATGGTAACACCGTATGTTGTCTTGTGGCACGTGGGTGAGATTTTCAGCATAGTGCCGCCCCCAATTAAATAATAAAAACAAAGAAAAAAATTCTTAAATTTATCTTAAAAATATATTTTCTTGTCTATTATGTACTCCTTTCTTCCTTTTGATTAGAGACACGGTAATAAGATGCTTAATTAGTTATGATTTATTATATTATTTTTTAAAATATATGTTTAAATACTTCAAAATTATATAGTATTTTTGTTTATTTTTTATAATACAAGTAAATAAAAAAATATTTTTGTTTATTTATAATTAACATAAATTAATGTGTAAGTTTTAAATATAGATAAAAATATTTATTTTTTTAAAGAGAGAAGTAGAAATAAAGGGGTTTAGGGTGGGTCTTGAAAATAGTGTCAATTGTTACGGGACATAAAATAAAAATTGAAAATAGTGTCAATTGCGGTGGGGCGTAGGAAGTATATATTTATTTATTTTTGTATTATATAGATTAATTAATGCTAGTATTATATACGTCGCTGATAGTATATAAAATCTTTTGATAAAAATAAGACAGGATTATGTTGTAATTTGAAATGAAATGTAACGGCATTTTAGTATGGTTAAGAGATCCGTTTACTAAATTGAGAAATATGATTGAGACAGGTGAAATTAATACTTTGATTGTGAAAAGATGTTATTATTATTATTTTTTAATAAAGATATATTATTATAATTTTTTTTGTAGAATATTACATAAAAAATACTATTTAAATTAAATTTATCGCCAAAAGTTTATTTACAGTAATAATAATAATAAAAATTATTGTAGATTTTACAAAATATTTATCCTAACCTACTTAACAACGTGCGACATTATGTATGACCGTTAGTACCGTTTTGGTTTGTTATTTAATTAAATCCAATGTAAAATTATGTGTAAATCAAATACAATTTTTGAAATTTTAGAAGTTTGAAATAAAAAAAATAAATAAAAAGTTAATATTTGATATGAATATTTTGTAAAAAAATAAAATATATTTAATATTGTGAAAATATAAAATGTATTTGATGTGATGTTTTGTAAAAAAAAATATATATTTAATATTGTGAAAAAATAAAATGTATTTGATGCTAACATTTTTTCAAAATTAAATAGTATGGTATGAGTGAAAGTTGGTTATATAAGCATGGTATAAACATGCACTCAAAAAAACTTCTGTGAAATGGACTAGATGCATAAGATATGACAAAATAGAAGCCAAATATCTGAGGAACAAAAGCTATAGACAAATATATATATATATATATATAAATAGAAATAAAAAATTAAAAATTAAAACTAAAACTAAAAATAAAAAAAAAAAAAAAAAAAAAAACATAAAGAAAGAGACAAATCCCAGGTTACTCAAGAAATTGAGAAAAGTGCCATTGGAAGATTGGACCACAATTCAAACACAAGGGGATAAAAAAGACCATACTTTACATATAAATGGAAATGAATAATTTGTTCACCTGATGCTGCAGTAAGAGGGCCTTATATAGGACAAAGCATTGATCATGTAACTTTGTCCTGAAATTTAAGAAAATTTCATCAATGAAATGGAGTAAATAAAATAAGTAATGAACTACTACTTCTAACCATCATAATATCTTTCACCTGGCAACCAGAAAATCATATTAGTTTCACAAATGCTGAGAACTTAATTAAGAAAGACCTCGAAATCGGTCACCAACAGCAGGAAAAAAGCATCATCTTGTGCAGCTCAATGCAGAAAAATCCACGAGCTTTGACAGAGTCCGATTCATAATATAAGCTTGACATCAGCTAAAGAGTCGAGTTATAATCCTTAATAAAGATTGGGAAAAAGAAACATCTTTTCATTGATGAATGGTATGATCGAGAACTTCCCAAAAATGGAATCCAAATTATATCAGAATTTCGGAAACCCTGCACATAACTGAGTAGATTTCTACTCTCTATAATGCTAATTTTCTGTATAATCTCTAATTCTTGTATTCTGCTACAAAATTCTGAGGATGGCCCAAGGAGCCAAACCAATTATTATGTCACAACAAAGAATCAATGTTGGTTTAACTATGGGGGTTAGGGATATGTACTCGTTTACCAGTAATTTCTGGGTGATCAATAAACAATGTTGCAGTCGAGGCGAGCAGCTAGACTAAACTAGAATGCCTGATGCCCTTTTATGTGCCTTTCCATTGAGTCCTTAGGCCCCAACCTTGGTAAAATGTGGAAGATACCTCTTCAAACCAGAATGTCGGTCGTGGAATACCACTTCTAAAGAGTTAGGCAAGTAGCTGGTATCATCACAAAAGCTCCAGTGCAGATAGGATGAAATACAGGAATCTTTTGATACAACAAACACAGGCCAAATGACCAGATCAATCCAACAAGGTTCTGGTATATAAGGAATCCTTAAGGGAAACCAGCTGCCTGCATCATAAGAAAAAGCAGAAAAGAACCATTGATCACTTTCTGAATCTCGACTGCTTTCTCCGCAGAACTTTAGGTCATGTAAAGCCTTGATCATACCCTTAAATGCTAGTTCTTAGCATCCGAAGAGCCAAATATTCAGCAGTAAAAATCAATGGTCACAACTGGTCAACTTGGAAATTCTGATGCTCAACAATGTAACCCGCCATATGTCAAATCCTTGTGAATAAATGGGCTATTACGGTTAAATGTAAATTCTCCAACTCTTTTACTCCTTTCTTGGACTCATCCCCTTTGTATTCTCCATTTCAGCCTCCTTGTTTAGACCTTTCCTTGGACTCATCATCCCCTTTGCATTCTCCATTTCAGCCTCCTTGTTTAGACCTTTCCTTGGACTCATCATCCCCTTTGCATTCTCCATTTCAGCCTCCTTATTTACACCTTTCCTTGGACTCATCATCCCCTTTGCATTCTCCATTTCGGCCTCCTTATTTAGACCCTTCCTTGGGCTCATCATCCACTTTGCATTCTCCGTTTCAGTCTCATTATTTAGACCTTTCCTTGGACTCATCATCCCCTTTCTATTCTCTATGTCAGCCCCATTTACTCCTTTTCTTGGGCTAATTCCCTTAGTCATCTCCAAGTCAGCCTCCTTAAATACTCCTTGTCTTGGACTCATTCCCTTTGTATTCTCCATATCAGCATCCGTTTTTACTCCTTTTCTTGGACTAAGTCCCATTGTGTACTCCATGTCAGCCTCCTTTCTTGCTCCTTTTCTAGGACTCATTATCTTTGTGTTCTCCATGTCACCCTCCTTCTTTACTCCTCTCCTTGGACTCATAACCTTTGCATTCTCCATTTCAGCCTCCTTTTGAGCTTTCTTCTTTTCTAGTTCCTCTTGTTTACAGTTTTCTTCATGAGCTTTCTGGAACAACCTCACGAAGTTTAAGAGGGTTGCAGCAACTGCATATGTGATTACACAATAGACATTGAATCAGAAATTTGATATTTTACTGTCCCGCCTGAAGCCCAACTGGTTTGCACAGTACCTTGCTCGAATGGACATTTTTTAGGGTCTTCGCCAAAATATAGAGCCAGTGCATCGGCATTTTTTCCCTGCCAAAACAACATCAACGTGCTGTATTATTACTGAAGGAAACTTTGTCTGATGCTACCACAATAAATTTAGATGAATATTTACCGCAAGAGAGTACAAATTTGTTACAGAGGACACATCTGCCTCAGCTGAACCAAGAAAGTTCTTCAAGGTCTGCCAAGCACGGCAAGAAGCATCGCTTGTAAAAACATCAAGTAAAAATCCTTCTTATCTTCTAGATATCATAATATTTTAAACTTAATATTAAATTATGTTAAATGACCGTCTCACCTAAAAGTTTAAACTTGTAAGGATACGCATCATCATTTATTTATATATTACGAAGTCAACCAACACTTAACATGCATGATCTATCAATCAACGGTCATCAAAGCCAAAATATTACATAGATTCTAGAATACCTTGTGAAAAACATCAGACACAGGACCATCCTCTTCTGAAGCAGCTAATTCCTGCTTTACCTTTTCTAAACCCTTGGCAAGGGACTGCACTTCTTCTGCCAAAGATTTTAATTGTATCTGAAAAAAGCACTTGTACTCTTAATTTCTATCCAAAAACATAAACTATTGCCCAATTGTAATACAACAACGAACCTTTGATGCAGCTTCCAAACTAACAAGATCTTTGTGAAAGTCCATAAGCTCTGGTGTTTTAGTTGCAATCACCTGAATGTAACAAAAGATAGTACTCAAATTACATCAGTGATGGTTATCAACAGTTATTTAAAAGCACATGAGATGCATAAAGAAAGAAAATTGCAATTCCAGTTAGCAAGACATTGAAAATTGATGCAATGGAAGAGTACAGTAGCTTTTAGGTCTTGGTATTTTGCCCACTCAAAAACAGGAGCCAATAAAAGCTTTAAATATGCTGCCCATGTTTTCTATCACTATAGGTAGGTCATCATCTTCATTTTTAATTTAATTTGATGGTGGAAGCTAAAATATGCTTTCCTAGAGCGTTTCTTTATTGAAAAGAACACACAAATATACTTGGAACCTAAACTGAAGAGTCTTAATACTCCCCCGTCCCGGCTACGGTGTTCCGTTTACTGTAGACACGAGAATTTAGGATGGGTATAATTAGTAATTAATTAAGAATGTATTAATAAAAATAATTTTAGATTAAGATAACTAATTAGTTTAATTAAAAAAAAATTTATAAAGTAAAAATTTAAAATTAGAATAAAATGTATAATTCTTTTTCAAAAAATAAAAATGACATAATAAGTGAGACAGACGGAAATGAAAAGATGACACGATAAGTGGAACAGAGATAATATTATTGAACTCAATTAAATATTTATTGAAAAAGGGTAATAATTGAGAGAATTCCAGAATGACTATTCTCATTGGTGTTTTAGGCTATAGAGTACAAGGTGTACAGGTTAGGCAGTTCATTACAAAGATTGACGAGGAGCTAAATAAGGTAGTTACCAGTCAATACGAAACATTAATCAATGCAGATCAATCTGCCAGAAAGGTATATCTATTCCAACGGCCCCCCCCTAGTGTCACCTGGGGGATAGAGTGGACGTTAGACTGAACTGAAAACCAGTGAAGACAGTAGTTGGCAGCCATTTGGTAAAGATATATGCATGCTGAAGGGAGATTGGCACATGAAGCACATGGAGGTCTCAAAGTGCTACAATTCCCACATGTTTTAGTGCATTGATGTTGCAGTGGATTAGTGGAGAGGTAGACTGTTGATTTTGCCACAGTAGATTTCCTCTGCCTTTATGAGACATTGGTGGAGTTGGGCTTGAAGTTGACGGTGCCAATAAGCTTTTGCAATGGCATTAGTCACTTTGTGGTAATAAGCTTCGGCACTAGTTTGTCTTTTATTTAGACAGAAGACCATGCCCCGCATGCCTTTCATGTACCTCAAAATTCTCTTGACAAGAGAGAAATGTTCCCAAGGTCATGCATATAAGCAAACCTTGCACCACACGAGTGATGTCAGGGTGAGTGAGGGCGAGGTACTGTAGTGTAGTGGCGAGACTCCAATAAAGCGTTGGATCAATGACTTGATCTTCAGCTTGAATGATGCACTCAACCTTTCCATTTTGTTGTGAGGTGTGAGAGCAGAAAAAGACAAAAGTGGGGGTCTTGTAAGGAAGAAATTGCAAGCAGCAGTTTTATAGAATTTCTTACAATTGTCACATTGTGTGAAAGAGAGAGAAGGTTGAAAGTGATTACGAACGTAGGCATGGAAATTTTGTAGAGTTTGAAACGCTTTGGATTTGAATTTGAGAGGAAATATCCAAAGTCATGTGTGTGATTGTCCAAGCATACAAAATAATATTTAATGTCCAACAAACTAGGTAAAGGGGTGGCTATGATATCTGTATATATCAGTTAGTATCTAATTAGATTGTGGACCTTGACCCAAAGTAGATTACTATTGTATATATATACACATATATATTTATAGATGTAATACTATAATCTTTCTAATCAGTGAAATAAACCAAGATTATTCAAGATTACAACAAGCAACATAAAATTAAGAGAATGATATGAAAGGTATGATTGGATACCTTACAAAGATAATGCATGAGAGTCATTCTGCTGTTTGCAGCTCGTGTATCTGACAATTTCAAAAGACTGTCCAATTTGAATCCAATTGCGGCACCTGAATGAAGAAATGATGTAATACTATAATCTTTCCTGCAACATTTATATTTAGACAGTACAGCTTTATCAACAATTGGTTATTCCTTAGCTCCACTTAAAGAAGATTCGGGTCCACTTCACTTAATTAAAGATTGGGGTCCAGGGGAGGTAGACCAGTTTACATCCTCATTTTCCCGTTGCCAGCATTTAGTAACATATTTTTCCTGTGATATAAAGATTCCTTAGCATGCAACTTCAATACCAAGCAAATATTTCAACTTTCCCAATTCTTTTATTCAAAACTTCTTTAGTAATCAGCATTTTAGCTACATACACTAGAAGAGTTTATACCCCCTGACTCTGAATGCTTAATGAAGAGAGTGCTATCTTCTTAATTTTGGTGGTAACCAAAGGATTTCATAACTTTTGCAAAACAACCAAACCAAGCTCTTAATGATTGTTTCAAGCCATAGAGAGCCATCTTAAGCTTACATAATTTACCCACTTCACCCTTAAATCATCAATTAGAGAAATGAACCATTTAGCTCTAGTAATATTTAGGATTGGTGAAGATCCCCAAACATTAATGTGGATTATATCACAAACGGTTAGAGCTTTTATTAAATAGGAATATATATTTTAGTATGTTAAGCATATTCGAATACTTCACAATCGAATTTTGAAAATCCAATCTTAGAAATAGATGGGGAAACAGAACTCTCGAAACTTTTAAATGAAGAATGACCAAATGTAAGGTGATACATCCAATGAAATTTTTATTGGTAGTATTTCGGCATGATAGAGAGAAAGATAGGTTACGATTGTTTCCTTTGGATGGTTCAAGGTAGTAAAGGCTGCCTCTTTCGTTAACAAGTAGAATAATCTCATCAAGCCTTGTTCCTGAAAAATGCAGTGATTGGAAAAGAAGTAGCAGAACAATTAAGGTCATGAGTGATGTTTTGGATAGACATAAGATTGGTTGAAATTTTAGGGACAAAAAGAACATCCTTGACGACAAAGGTAGAAGTGATATCCTACCAATTCCAACAACATTGGCTACAATAAATTTTTGGTTACTTGAGCATGGAATATACGCAAGGAAATTTTGGGGAATGGGAGTCCTATGATCTGTGGCTCCAAATGCTATAATCCTACTGCAATCATAACACAATTTTGAGTCTAAAAAGAGGATGAGTTTACTTGAAAAATAAGTGAACAAATTCTAGAAGGCTTTCCAAGAGAGCCTAACAAATTCCTTGATTTCCAATTACCTCACTTTAAATGTTACTGTAATGTTTCCCTCAATCTTTGATTGTTCAGCAGCCATACAACCCTGATGTCTTTTTTGTCCCTTCCATCTTCGGCTAGGGGGCTTTACATGTAACTTCCAACACTTTTCCCTAGTATGCCTAGGTTTCTTGTAATAGGAGCACCAAAGATTGTCCTTCGGATTTGATTTAATGCCATCTCCATTCCCTTTCTCTTGAAAATTTGTTTTGGGAGCAAATGCAAATCCATTGTTACTTTGGATAAGCTTCAACATTTCATTTCTCCCACTCTCTTTAGCCCACACAAGGGAAATAGTCTCTTCAACACAGAGAGTGTCAAGCTTTTTTCTAATATTTGGATTTTGTTGAAATCTTTTAAATATTTAATTTATGGTTTAGATTAGATTTCTATGTCTAGATTATATCATTATTATTTGATTATATCCATTACATCAGATTGTTATTATTTAAGTCTATCGAGTCTGTATTTATTTATAGACCTTTGATTTTGTTGTTAATAATATGCAATTCTAAAGATTCTTCAAAATATAATATGGTATAAGTGCCACGTTTTTCGGATACACTCAACCTAGAATATACAGGGAGGTCTTCCGATTTTGAGATCGTCTGCAGTAGCTTGTTTGTCAAATTTGTTTTTCAGTTTCAATAAAATTTATGTTCGATCTTTGATTATTTGTTGTAATTCCACTCAAAGTCCTGTTTCTTGAGTCTTGACTACATTAGAGTCTCCTTCTACACTCTAACTTTGTTATGAACGAACACTATTTCCAACTCTAACTCTGTTACAAGCAATTCCCATTACGAACAAATACTATTTCCAACTCTAACTCCGTTATAAACGAATATTCTACAAATTTCCGACTTTTTGAATTGCATATGCTTCTTCGGTTTGGTTAGGTTTTGGGTAACAATTGTCTCTAATGTTGACATGATAGAAGAAAATCAACAATTGAAGTTGTAGAATGCTTAACGAACAAGGTTAAAAATAGAGAACAAAGTGTAGGGAGTTGACGATGAAGGCACAACCAGGACACTGTATTGGAGCCATCAAAGGATTTTTTTTTTTTTTTAAATTTTTTTAAACCAAGATTTGATACCATGTGAGGAAATGAATCCAAAAACTGATTTATATTTCTAGGTTGTTTCACAAGATACATATATAAGAATACATAAAGAGAAAAAAATGAAAGAATCTAATCTAATCTAATCCTAAAATCCTAATTCCTAAGCAATAAATCAGCGTATCCTAATCCCTTGATTTAAGGGATGTAAATGCAACATATTTCTGCATCAATTAGATCTATACATAAATCTAGCCATGTATATTTACATTATGCATCCCCATTTCGATGTTTCTACTGAATTTTGAGGATTTCCTAAGCAGTTTTCGTTAATTCTTGAACAAAAACAATACAACATCCAAGATAAACCACTGTATTGGTGTGTGCAGCTTGAGTATCTAGGCAAAGACCAATTTCTTAAGTGCCACATCAATATAATTTGTGAGAAGTTTCTGAAAGTAACCTTTGCTTGTGAAATATGCAAAAACCAAAACGTGATAGATATTGATACAAAGTTCATACCTCTGGCAGTTCCCTCATTCAATGTATTCCCAAGATACAAAATCTTTTTCATAATTTCTTTCAGTTTGAGGGAATTCCGGACCTGAGATACATTGGGGAAATGAAACAGTGAAAAGAAGACTTATTATTGAAGGATTTCATAAAACAACATACTAATAGGCACTGAATCCTTATTGCACCTCTTCACAAGCAGAGTTTACAATGGTCAAACAGTTTCTGAAATCACAAACCTGAAATAGAATGCAGAATTTGGAAACCATTACACTGGAAGTAATGATTGAAATTAATAAAATCAATCAAACCTGAGAGTTGAACTGAATCTTGAAAAAGAAAACTCTTAATTTAGATTCCATTCTTGGTACTCTCATCAGCTCCAGAAAAAACTGAAAGATGGTAATGCATTCAATATTGCACCAACGAAGTAGATTGATACATTAAAGAATGGGCAACCCAAAAACCATAAAAGATAAAGTAGCATGCTCATCCTATAATGACTGAGGGAATATGCTCACACTGACATTACAATACATGTTTAAAAAACAAGATAAAAAATAAATGCAAAAAATTCAATTGATTTATATATCACTTTACAGAGTAAATTAGCAAAATAGAATCTCATCTAAAATTGTTTGTTAGAGTTTATATGCATTTCTTCTATGAAAAATAGAACTTCTAAATATAGACAATTTCTATCTAGATAATGAAACGAAAGTAATAAAAACCTAAATGAACACAAACATACAAAAGACGAGAGTTTAGTAATTCAATTTGGTGAACCTACATCTGGAGGCAAGTTAGGTATTGTCACTAGTATGTACCCATCAGAGTTTTGAAAGACTCCAATGAGTATTCATATGAGTTAATATAAATCCTTATGAGCCTGCGGCCCAAAATCTATACGGATGGGCCCAATTTCTTTACTGGCATTCTCACTCCCTTTGGACACCCCACCCCCATTAACTTAGCGGCAAGTTTGAGCGCTGGTATCGGGCTTGGATGTCCACTAATTCTCCAAGCTTCAGCTTGGGTACGCAACATAACATATAAGCTCTGCAAGAGTGAGGAAATATGATCATACCAATATTATATGGCCCATCCCATCATACTTCCATTGAGCCCTAATAATTCAAAAGAATACTTTTTGTCCTAATATCAAGCCGATCATGCTTGAACAAGGCATTTTACATGAATCCTCTTTTGCAGAAACTTCAGTCCAAAATGGTATTTGTTAAAACTTAAATGTAAAAACCACCAACTCTTGGAAGTTGCTTGAGCGCTGCTTCTTAGATGAATGTTGAGAAGCCATCAATACAATATGGTATATTTTTAGCATAAGAACTACCAACTCTTGGATGTTGCTTGAGAATTCTGTTGCAAATGACTGTTTCTAAACCATTTTGGGTTACTACTTGTTTTTATATCAATTGTATGCATTCCACCGTTGTCTTCACAAGGCTATTCCTTTCTCTCTTTTGTTTCCTCATAAACCCATTACCTCTATTGCATGGCATCTCTTTGGTAGTACTTGTTTGTTCCCAATCCTTGACCTTACATTACTAACTTTGTCCCCAAAACTCTGTACGCAGATATATTGTATATAGGTCCATTTTTGTATTTAGAATAGTGTAGGGTATCTTTTGTTATTTTTTGATACCTTTTGTACATAATGTAGAGTATTCTCATGTAATCAAATGTTAGTGTGAATAAACTTAAACTTTTCACCAGGTGGCGGGATTTAGGGGGACGGATCTGATACTATGAAAAATTAAAGTTATTCAAATCACATTTTATTACATAAGAAAACTCTATATTATATACAACAAATATCCAAAATATCTAAGACCCTACACTATTCTAAATACATAAATGAACCTATATACAATATATCTAACATTATTTTCTTAAAGGTGTGTTCTTTTATCAAATGTTACCAAATCTTACAATATCATCATGCCAAATGCATGAGAACATAATAGAATTTTATATATCCTATCTTGTAATAATAGAAGTTGTGTTTTCCAATTTTCACTATGTTTTAACATTAATTCAATTTTTTCCCTAAAAGACATCGTATCGTATACTTATTTTAATTTTAATATATAATATACCAACTTTATTTTTTATTCAAATAAATTAATATCACTTCAAATAAATTTTAATTCAAATTTTTTACTGTTCCACAAAGTATACCAAAACACAAACAAACAAACCTGAACATTTTTCTCAATTGAAGAATAAATAATCATCCCAACAGAATCTAAACCACACATCTTTATAGTAGAATAACAGCACTATGTGATACAAATACTGCCTGGATAAACCTAACATGCAATTAAACTTTTTAGCCACCCAAAACAATAAAATCACAATAAATAATAAAAGATAAAAATTAGTGACCAAATATCTGACACTAAATCATTTGAAGCCCCCTCACTCACTTAAAAAGACAAGTAAAATTCATAGCTCAGAAATTGCCACAATATATTTAATGACCAAGGGAAACAGTGTCCATATTGCCTCATGTTAAATCAAGCTTTACTAGATATTCTTACACCTCTTTAATACAATTTAACATTCATCAGAAATGTATCATCTTATAATTTCATTCATACTTCACAAACCATCATAATTAGACCAGTAAACACACGATGCAGCTCACTAACCTGTTCACACTTTCCCAAATTCTCCTTGTCACCTGTGTAGTTCTAGAAATACCATAACAATGAATCAATTATATGAGACAACGTCCCAGATAAGAGGAAATGCTTTTGATATTACAAAGTACTACATTATAACAAATGAAACTTCACCTTGAGAACTTCCGCCTCTTCCTTTTTTGGACTAAATTTTATGAGATTCTCCACTTGATCTGCATCTAGCAATGATTCATCCATTGCAAGTGCAGCATCCTGTCATGTTAATAATGATAATAAATAAATAAATAAATAAATCAAATTATACTTTGAGTTAATAGAAAGGAAGTGATGAAAAAGATGAACCAATTCATTTGGAATAACTGAAATCACCTTAGCTATGCAGTATTGCTGACCACAATCTCATCACTGACACAGATTATGTAAAATAATAGAAGTTTGTTCTCAAAGCTATTTTTGCAACAGTCCAATGCATCACGCTTTCATGTATATATAGAAAGCAAGGGGAATTGCTTCATAGTTTTATGTGGAAGAAAACTATAGATAGTTCTCTATATAATGTACCATATGATTCATCTTTAATTTCCTTTCCCTATTCAAAATATATATAAAAAAATAAAAAAATAAAAAATTATGATCTGGATGAATTTATCACATGAGAATTCATTTTCTTCCCTAAAAACCTGAATTTTTAACATTCGCTAATATAAGGTTTTGGCCAGTCATATAAAATGTGTCCAGATATTAAAGAGGAAAAAAAATAAAATAAACTACAGACAATGCATGCTAATATCAATAGGATTTCTATCTCTTCAACATTTCATATCTTTAGCTCCACCAAATTCTATTCACACTAATTTATGTTTGCTCTAACTCTTCATTGAAGAATTTTAAATACTACTTACTGTTTTCTTTTCTCCTTCTTTTATCTATGTATTTATTATATCTCTTTCAAATGAACTCATATAATAGTGAAACTTCTATTTCAAATCCATATGAACCACATAATCAATGTAAAACAGTATAACTTTGAAAGGTAAAGAGTTTCAGAAACAGCACTACAGTCATTTAGACTGAAGCACAAATTAATAATGATATTGAGAGCTTGTGACAAAATATATATATATATATATAGTGTTTTCATTAAAAGGAAATTTCTCTATCGAGGACCATGAATAAGAAAAGAGGAAGTGCAGTATCTTAGCTTACCATCATGTCAGGAAGTGGCATTTTCACTTTAGTGAGCATGATTTCAACATTGTAGGCCCGTTTTAGATCAATCTACAAAATAGAATGTGTCAGGTTGATAAAAAAAAAAAAAAATAGTAAGAAAAAAACAAACATAACACACATGAACAAGATCATTAATATATATATATATTCATATGCAGTTATAAATCAATTCACTACATGAAAATTTACATAGGAACGATTTAAACAACATTACCAGCTGGACTTTACTTGGTTTGGAACTAGAAGCCCTCTGACCTCCAGTTACACCTCCTGCATTACTTGACTTTGGTGCTGTTGAGAAAAGAGTCTCAATTTCCTTGACGTCAAAATCTGGCACACTGCAATTCGAGAGCAATATATTAATTGCTTTGGCAGCTCCGAGATGGCACAATATAGGAAGATAAAAACATTGTGAAGAAGTAACAGATTTTAAAAACACAATTCCCTCTCGTAGGTCTAAACAAGAAAATTATAACAGAGAGAGAAAATTACACTTGAGGATCTCCTCTTCGCTGCAATTCTTCCCATAAGCTCCCTTGTAATGCCCTGGTGACCTTGCTCCAATGAAGTGGCTTTAAGTTAGATTTTCGAGATCCTGCAAATCGTCCACGCCCTCTACCAGCAGGTAGCCCTCTACTATCTGTGGCCCCTTTTGCACCAAATGGTGGAGGTGGTGGTGCTCCACCTCCTGGAGGTCCTGGAGGTGCTGGTGGGCCAGGCAATCCAGGAATAGGAGGTGGAGGAGGTGCTCCTCCCATAGGTGGAGGAGGTGGAGGGGGTCCTCCTATCATTGCCGATGGTGGAGGAGGTGGAGGGGGTCCTCCCCCCATTAGTGGAGGAGGGGGTGGAGGGGGTCTTCCCATCAATTCTGGTGGTGGAGGAGGTGGAGGGGGTCCTCCCCCCATCAGTGGAGGAGGGGGTGGAGGGGGTCTTCCCATCAATTCCGGTGGTGGAGGAGGTGGAGGGGGTCCTCCCCCCATTGATGGAGGAGGGGGTAGAGGGGGTCTTCCCATCAATTCCGGTGGTGGAGGAGGTGGAGGGGGTCCTCCCCCCATCGGTGGAGGAGGGGGTGGAGGGGGTCTTCCCATCAATTCCGGTGGTGGAGGGGGTCTTCCCCCCATCGGTGGAGGAGGGGGTGGAGGGGGTCTTCCCATCAATTCCGGTGGAGAAGGGGGTCTTCCCATCAATTCCGGTGGTGGAAGGGGTGGTGGGGGTCCTTCTACCAATGCCAATGGTGGAGGAAGTAGAGGGGGTTCTCCTCCTATCGGTGGAGGTGGAGGGAATACTTCTATCAATGCCGGCGGTGGAGGAGGCGGAGCGGGTCCTCTCCCCTTTGGTGGAGTAGGAGGTGGTCTTTCTATAGGTGATGGGGTTGGAGGTGGTGCTTTTTCTAAAGATGTGAGAGGTGACGGAGAGGGTGGGGGTGGCACTCCTATTGATACAACGGGTGGAGAATGGTGTAGGGGTAGAGATAGTGTTTCTTCTTTTGGTTGAGGGAGTGTTCCTCCTACTAGAGAGGGTGGAAGGATTGGAGGGGATGTTCCTCCATGTAAAGATGATGATAATAATGTCTCTCCAATTGGTTGAATAGATAAAGACGATACTCTTCCCATTGGAAGATAAGGTGGTGGTGGGGTGGGTGGTGAGGAGCAACAAAATGTAGGTAGAGGAGGTAGAGGTGAAGGTGGAGGTGGAGATGAGGATGAGGATGTTTGTGGTTCTCCAAATAAATGGGAAGATGGAGGTGGAAGTGGAGGTGGAGGTGAAGGGACACATGATTGTGATATTTTAGATATTGGAGAAAGGTGTGGTGATAGCAAAGCTTTGTAAGGAGAAAGAGCTGCTGATGGTGGTGGTGGGGGGGGTGGGGGTGGGGGTGGTGGACCATTACATATAAGAGGGGTTAATGAAGGAGGAGGTATTGATGGTGGCGTTAGTTGTGGTGGTAGTTGAGATGCATAAGTACTGCTTTGAGAAGGTGGAGGTGGAGGTGGAGGGCTTGGAGGATTGCCTTGTCCTGACAGTAAAGGAGAAGTGGAAGGAGAAAGAGCCTCCAACTTGGAACCACTTTGTGCGGAGGATTCAAGATTATTGTGGGGATGGCCAATGCGAGTAGGGGAAGGAGGCTGTGAATTTGATACTGCTGAAACTAAAGGTGCAGAACTTCTAGCATCCCAGGGAGGTAGTGGAGGTGGGGGTGGGGGTGGGGGTGGTGAAATCCTACTAACATTCTGCAAGGTACTAGCAGTAGGGGCTGGAGGAGGTGCAGTCTCTGGCAGATTAGTTTCACCTATACATGACTCATGTGAATAAGGAGTAGTAGAAGGTGGCAAAAATTTGTATAAACTTGCATGAGGTCTGCAAATATGAAATGTAAAAATGAACAGTACCTGCACATGACAGTGGTGGTGGCGGTAAAATCAGCTCTCCATCTTGAGAAATTTCAGTAGGTGGCAAAGCCCGCTTATATAAATATCCAGAGGAAGGAGGTAGTGGAGGTCTCGATGGTGGCGGTGGTGGTTTTGGAGGGGGAGGTGAAGGTGAAGGTGCTGGTGCTGGTGGCTCTTGACTAGGCTCCTGGTCCAGCCATTCTACTTGTGGGGTTGAAGGAGACGCCAAGTAAAAAGCCTCATGCACTGGTGAAGAACCCAACGAAGATGGACAGGATGCAAGTCTTCCTAAAAGCAAAAGTGACCCGGGACTAAACTCCTGATCTGGACGTTCCACTAGTGGTGTTGAATACAATGCTGGGGAGCAAGTTCCTGGGGCTGGTGATGGCGGACAGGTAAAATTCTTTGAACGCCCACGCCCTGATGGATGAGCCCTTCCGGCTATAGCTCCAGGTGTGGAATGGCGCTTATATCTTCCACCAATGCCCCTGAGCAGACCTAGTGATGCAGGTGCACTAAAATTCCTCGTCGGAGGACTATATACGGGTATTGAATTATTGAAAGGATAATACACGTGCGCTGAATTGTTGCAAGAGCCTCTGTTTGAAGGAATCCATCGGGATGTCGCTGCTGGTTTCGCCTGTCTTGCACGAAATCCCGGTGGGTCTTGCTGCCTATTTTTCTTCTTGGTACTGGGTGCAACTGAAGCAGCTTTTGAGCTTGAAACCGGTTGCTTCCTCTGGGGAATCGGAATTCCCTTACTCAAATTCTGCTTTTTATTACTGGCAGAAAGCTTCGGGTGTGATTCCTTTTTGTCATTTTTCTTTGGCAGAGTTGGAACTTCTTCACTTTGCTTATCTTCCACTTCCTTGGACTTGCTTCCTCTGCCAACATTTTTGGATACTGTTTCTGCACTACTCGGCAAATCGGAAACAGACCAAGACTTATGTAGACCTCTACTGTGCTGCGAATTATAGTGGCGGTGGTCCATTTTTTGACCCTGTCTGTGACTGGTCCTCTCTGATAAATATTTGAGTGCATTAGGTTCAAAACCATCCTTCCATGATGATCCATGATAACTTTCATCAGACTCTGACCTTGAATCCAGCCCATCATCTGCACTGCTGAAGATCTCCACAGCCTCAAAAAATTCCTCAGATGAGGCAATTTCTGTTTCACTGCCATCTTCACTAACCACTTCTGCCAGGAGAATGGAAGAGGTAGAATCTGGATCTGAAAACAGTATCTGATGCAGCAAAATGTATTGCTTGTAAGCCTCCCAAAACCAAAAACATTACATAAGAGCATAGAATCTTTACCTCTGCAATGAAATCTGGTGGAATTTGATCCTTGGCATCCCAAGGAACATCGACCTCATCACGAAGTAGCATCAAGACGTTTGATCGGACAAAAGCAGTGTGGAACATTATTCGAAAAATCATTACTTCAGTCACCAGATCATCTTCCAAATGAGCACACTCAACAACAACATCGCCTTGGACAAGGCAATGTACATCTAAGTTTACAATTTCACACTCTTCCTGCAGCCACAAATTGTCATAGTAGCTTAAAACATGATGCAGCAAGCATTCTATTTAATGAGAGTTTGCAACGCATTACCTGTTCATAGAAAGGGATCTGATTTTTTGTTTTTGAACTTGAAAACAAAAGCGTTGAAGTTCTGTTGGCTGTACCAGAAGGATCCTGGCCATATAGACGAAACACAGGTCGGCATCCTCTTCCATTGTATAGAGGAAGGAACCTGAGTATGATATGATCCAAACTTAGAGATGCATCTGATCCCAGCCAATCTAACTCAAAATTTCTTCTGGAGATGTAATGAAGATATCTGAGCTGAGATGGCTGTGGATTCAAATGAGTCCAATGATGAAGAAGATCTACATGCGCTTGCTTGTATACCATTTCGAGGGTCTTCTGCTCACCAGTGTACTCCTTTCTGTACAGAAGAAGGGAAGCAAGCATAAATGCAAGCACCGGCCATCCACCTGTTTCACAGTGCAGTAAAAGAACATTTTGTTGGTCCTCAATGGACAACCAGCTTTCACTCGTTCGCAAGAAGTGATGGATCATCTCCAGAGGTAACAGAGGACACCCTTCGTGTTGCTGAGGATAATCCATTAGTGTCATGCCATACTGAGACAGAACATCAGATAATTGACTCTTCTTGTCCGGCCTTTTGAAATTGAAAACCATGAAAGCAGATTCAGGATAGTGCTCCTGTAGCTGAGCAACAATCTCGTTCATGTATGTCTTGTACTCTTCTTCTTGAACCAAAACGGTGGAGAAGCAGTAATCAAACACTGCATGAAAAGCAAAACACATGGTGTCACATTATTTTTGTAATTCAGGAGCCTGTAAGTATCTATAAAAAATAGTTATGAAACTTGGCAATAAATTATACCAAAGCAACGCAGAAAACTAAATTTTCGTCATCTTGCTACAGGTGAGGGACTTCTAAACCATAATTACTATATTGCATCCACAGTTGAATACACAAAATGCAGAAGGAAAGAGAAAGAATGATTCAGTATTACAAAATATGATAAAAATCTCTAACATAAAGATCATGCAATCAGAGACTTCAAATATAAGCCCAGCCAGCACTGTAAAATCATCTTAAATTTCAAGTGGTTCAACCCAATTTTATACACAATTTTCCCCGAATCGTTATGACAGGATATTTAACATACAACTTTTGCATATTATAACAAGTTACTGCATTAAAAGCTTCATATCTGTTATAAAAAGATAAATTCATGAACTGTCAAGGCAACCAAATTCCACCCAGAAATGTCCAAGCATTGAGCTAATTACCCCCATTGACAAATGCCACCATAATAACAACAAACAAAAAATACAAGAAGGAAAAATCAAATTCTGTAGAACCAAACTCATGTTAAACAAGAAAACCTATCTTGAATCGTCATACCGTAGACTCTCTCAGAAATTTCGAGAAGCCGGTCCGGCGGCTTCCGATAGAAGAACCTTTTGAACAGCGCCATCTAATATAATGGCGCTGTTTTATCCCCGATTGGATCCAAAACCGCTTTTCCCAATCCAATCTCCCAATTCTCGCACCTCGATCAAACCAATCCTTCCAAAGGATACCCACAATTCACCAATTACAACCATAAAGCGATCGGAAATTCGCCCGGCCACGTAATACTTCAATTCCGCATCAAATATCGGGTATCATCAAAATCCAGCTAGGGTTTTGGCCGTCGTTGCAATCCGCCGGTATCTTACCGCGCCCAAAATGAGCTCAATCAAAATACAAAATACAAAATAATCCAGGGAAGACAATGTAGGCACGAAGCGGGACAGTTTTCTCAATCGATCAACCACATTTGCAAATTCCGACCGTGATTGTTCGGACGCGACAAAACGTTTTGGAGGACGATTTCATGGCCGAATTCGTAAGAAAGGAAGAGAGGGAGAGGAGAAGAAAGAGCGGAATGCAGTCTGACTGTGAAGGAGGGTCATTGTCATTTGTCAATACTCAATACGGTCGGGTGACCGTTGTTCTTCTGTTTTCGCTTTTTTTTTTTATCACGTGCGCCACGCGTGCATATGCAAACAAGCATTAACTTTTATTTTAAATAAATTTGTTGGTTGCAAAACCGAGTCTTACATTATGTGAAAAAAATTTACATTTTATAAGTACAGCATAAACAAATTTATGCGGGATTAGCCTAAAACGGATAATGTCATACTAGTATTGAGTTGATCAGTCCCAACAATGGTATCAAAGCATGGTTAGACGGTGAAGTGGACTTGGTGGTATTGGGTATTGGTGGTGGGAGACTCTCCCTCGTAACCTGCGGAGGTCCTTTGTGTCGGAAGTCTCCTAGCAGCGTTGGATCGGTCTCGACAGTTGTGATTGATCAGACAATGGGTCCCTTTGTATTAGGTGGTGCAAGGTAGTAGAAAAGGCCCATAAGTTGGTTCTTGGTTTGAGGGGAGATTCGTTGGGATGCAAACCCAAGTCCAGATCGGAAGATGTAAGAAAAACTCACACTTTATAAGTCTCACATAAACTCCACTAGTATTAGGTATTTTGGAGTAAGTCCAAAAACAAACTCGTGCGGGCTTAGTCCAAAACGGATAAATAAAATATATACATAAGAGTAAGGTTGTGTTTCTTTTAGTTGAGTTTGGAAAATTTTGGCTTTGGTTAATGTTTGATGAGATATTTTGTGAGTGTTTTGTCATGAAAATATATAGTTGAAATAGTAAAATTTGGAAAAATTAGTGTAAAGAAACATACCCCAATATAAAAAATACTCCCTCCGTCGCTTAACAATCTATTCGTTTTTCCATTTTGGTCAGTCTCATAACAAAGTATTTATTTCTTTTTTTCAATAATTGTATTATCTACCTAACATTACAATTCTTCTCATTTACAATATATTATACAAATGTCATTATCTTTATTGATACAATACTAATAAAATTAATTTAGTCTTTTTATATTTATTTCTACTACGTTCCAATATAATATGAATATTTATAAAACTCCGTGTTAAAAAAAATAAATGTATAGATATGAGAGAAAAGAAGTATATAAATATAATATTAATAATTAAAATTGAATAAGAGAATAATTTTTATACAAGTGTCGCCCTTATCTTAGTGTCATCTTCGCTTTCTAAATCAATTTATACTCATTGAGGCTAGGCTAGGCTAATTATGTTATTTTATTTTATAAATAAATTAAGAAAGAATGATATTTTAATGTATAAATTAGATAGGTGAAAAATAAAATAGATGTATTATAAAAATATATATATTAAAAAATTAATAGAAGAATGTTAAAATTAGAAAAATAAATAAATAAATAAAGTAAAAATTAAATATAAACCCGCAACCGCTGATAGGTGAACCTAATACCCTGCAAACCAGGTCCGACCGAAAAATCACACTAGACGAACTATGTGTGACATAGGACAATTTTTCTTTTTTTTTTTTTTTTTTTTTCTAGTCTTTGTAAACATGTAGTATAGTATAATTGTTTTGTACATATTTTAAATACAATTAAATAGCAATAATGTATTGTCCATATCTTGTACAGTTTTACACAGTTATTCAAATTTAAAACAAACTTGTACGAATTTAAAAATATATTTTAGAAAAAATAATTTGAAATATCTTGAAAATGCTTTAAAATTAAATATATTATTAATATATTAAGAGTAGTCGGTTTGAAATGCACCATTGACTTCATAGATTTAAATTTTATTTTATTGTTAAACTGAGCTATTAAACTTATACTTCAAATCACTTTTCAAGCAGGACCTTCAAATAGGAATAATATATAGTAAATTGTAAAAATTATGACTTTATTCGTCTAAGCAAAAAAACAAACAGCATGGTTTCTAAAAGATATTACTTCCTCCGTACCACCTATCATGTCTATATTGTCGTTTTGGTCCATCCCACACCTCATGTCATTTTCTTTTTTTGGAAAAGGATTATATTAAACTAATTAGTTATCTTAATTTTAATTTATAATTATTTATATTATAGAATAATTATTTTCACTAATACATTCTTAATTATCTCTTAATTATATTTATCCTAAATTCTCGTGTCTACCGTGATCCGGACATTCAACGTGGAACGGAGGGAGTATATAATTATTGTCACATAAATTTTCATTAATGAAAGCGAATGATTTCGGAGACTTCAAGCTGATCGGGTTGGATTTATGTAAGTCAATTGGACATAACTTTGTTAGCATATAAGACTTATTCATGCAACTCGGATCAATCGATGGTAAATTATGTTAGCGGGTGCCCAAAAAATTAAGTTCAATGAGTGATCGTTTGGTCCAATAGATTATTTATTTTTTTATTTTTTATTTTTGGTCCAATATATGATTACGGAGCATAATATTTTGATGGAAAAATGATTTGTCAATTTATGATGTGGATTAATAGTTACTTGAAAAATTAAGATGGGGAGTGCAAAATAGTTTTATTGTTGACAGATGTAGCTAAATACACTCAAGCAACCAATTGTATTATTAGTTCATTTGTGATATAATTCATTAAGTGGTTTCGAATGGTACGAGATCAATTTTGTTTTAGTGTACCAGAAATTTGTTACTCTGTGTACTGTGTTGGTAGTGGTCCTTATTTACTTATTAGAGGTGAATTCTGTCGTTGAATATTCCTTGTATTTTGGTTATAAAAGCCCCCAGAATGTAATCTTCCAAACAAGAGAAATAGATTCATTCTCCCAGCCATTTTCTTTACACTCTGCTTTTGGTATTTTCACATCATTTATTCTGAAAGTATAATTCACTAGAAATTCATATAACAAATACAAAACATGTAAACATAAACATACGAATGTTTGTTTACCTAATTCGATCAAATAAAAATTTACGTTTGAGGAGGTTCCAATCCAAGCTCCAATCTACTAGAAATTTGTCGAATTGTACACCTCAATACATCTCAAGCATAATCTTCCAATGATCAACGTCAATATAACTGTTGATAGATATGATATGAATATTAGGTATTATATCCTAAATATATGATTTGAATATTAGATATTATATCCTAAATTTAGATATATAATTTGGATATTATTTGTATAAACTTATGCTATAAATAAACATGCATTCCCATTCTAACAGGTTGTCATACGGCCAGGCCATGCGGCCAAGCGACTTAAATCCTGCAATAAAACTTGTTCTTCGTTTCTGTCCGTGGAGGTAGCCAATTCATTTTTTGTGAATCACGTATATCTGTGTCTTCTTTGCGTTTTTGTTTGTTATTCGACCATCAATCATAATCCGTCGCAACAATAACAAACATACTGTTAGAATTTTGGGAGAAAATAAAGAAGTTGTATTATTGATCATCAAAAGACTTATATATAGACAATACAAAACAGACTATAAACTCAAATATAAAAAATATAATAAGACCAAATTTAAATATAAATTCACTAATCTAAAATTAAATATTTAAAATATTTCAACACATATAATTTTCTTCACAAAGAACACTCACCAAACCGCGCACCGGTTTTTCTTGAATCACCACAAGAGAATCTCCAAAATGACAATCAACTTCAATTCCAGTCTTCGAGCCTTTTTCACAATTATGTTCTATCTATGTGATCTGTCCTCCAATCGGATTGTAATTTGTGTCCGGCTAAAAAAAAAAATTCATTGGATTAATTTGCGCCTGAATTTAATCATAAAGGAATACATATAAAATAAAAGGTAGACAAGAAGAAATAAATTGAATGAACTTAATAAATAAATGAAATAAAATGCAATACAATAAATTAACGATCAGGAAAATAAAATAGATAAAATATAAAGAAGATTTTTTGAGTTGGGTATTTGTGTAATTTTGTTATTTTTTTATGTTGTATTGTGTAATTTTATTTTTAAAAATAATATATATATTTTTAATTAGTGTATAAAATTATATTAAATAATATTATAAAAATTAATATACAGATAATATACCCATTCTTCAGTCAAACTAGAAATTATATACATTTCTATTTTGGGATGTCTATTTACAAATAAAATATTTCATTAAATACCTCAGTTTTTCTCACAAATACAATAATAAAAGTTGTGATATATATCCAAAAAAATAATTTACCTAAAAATAAATATTACTCACTTACTTACTCCATCGGTTTATCATTTTCGTCTGTTTTATTTCAAAGTATCTATTTATATTTAGAAAAAAAAATTATCTACTAATACTAAAATATTTTTAATTTTTAACTAAATTACAAATATATTATTACAAATACAATTATTTTATACAAAAATTCAAAGGGCAAAAAATATAAAATCTCTTACCCACTTCCATTAATCAATACAAAATTTGAAAAAACCTATTTGATAAAGAACTCGTAGAGTATTATTTAATTATCAAATTATCTTATTTAATATTATTTACCACAATTTATACCTTTTAGGTGTGTTTGTTTAAAAGATTTGTTAATATTTTTGTTATTGATAAAAAAAAATTTTTCAAAAAAATATCAATCAAACATCTATTTTTTATTTTTTTTATATTAAAAAAATTAAATTTATATTAAAAATATTGTATCAATATTTATTTATATTATCAATTATTTTAATTTAAATTTTTTTACGATTCAAATCCTAACCTAAAATTCAAAACGACCAAACACAACCAAATGTATCACAATGATGTGCCTAGGCGGTACCAACTATTATTAAATTTGTTTCATTTCTTGATCCAACGGATGTTATAATTTCACGTCGATGGTAACCGCCGCCTGTGTGTCTGACTGTGTGTTTGTGTGCGCCTCAAGAACTCTCTCCCCAGCTCTGATAATTGTTATTGTTATGGCTCTATAAACGAAAAAGCTCTACTCTCATAAAACCCATTTCTCGAGGAGGAGAGGACCCCTCCATTTCTCTTTCATCCCTTACTCCAATCCATCGCTAATCTTGCCTTCGCACAAAGGGCTTTCGCTCTCATCCCTTCAATCGTTCGATTTCTTCTGCTGAACCCTGCGCTACCCTCGATTCATTTTTCCAGTCTCTCTTTCGCGTCCCCATGAATGTCCTGAGCACGACGATGAGGTGGGAGAAGGTGCAGCACCAGCAGGAGCCGAAGGTTGAGAATGGCGGCCCCGGGATGAGGTGGGGCCACACATGCAACGCCGTCGGAGGAGGAAAGCGTCTCTATGTTTTCGGTGGCTATGGGAGAGATCACGGCCATACTAATCAAGTCCATGTCTACGATACTGGTGCGTCTCTGTGTGTGTTTTGCGCTGTAATGATTTGTTACCCTTTGGGGTTTTGACATCGTCCGGCGGAGTTTTGTGGGAGGATTTTGGGGATTCACTGTTTTTGGTAATATTTTTGGGTAAATTCTTGATTTGTGCCGTTAATTGAACTGATTTTGGTTTAATCTGGTGGGGCTGTGGGTATTGAAGAGGCTTGATTGATGCTTATGGTAATTGGAAAACCTATTTAGGGGGTTTTGAAGTTTTTGCTAATTTGTGCCCTAATTTAATGAGCAATAGAAGGGTTGTGAATTTGGTGTAAAATTGGGAAATTGGGAGCTCAGATGTTCTGAAATTTTGTTGTGATTAAGCTGTGGGTTTATGTTTCTATGGAGAACCGTAAAAAACCTTTATTCGATTGTAAATGAGGTGTTGCTAGAGATTGTGATTGTCTTTACCTGATTTTCTTGGCCATTGATTTGGGGTTCTGATGGTTGTGTTATTTCTTGACCAGTTGGTATGTTTTGGAATGAGCCGGTGATGAAGGGCATGCCGCCATGCCCGAGGGACAGCCATAGCTGTACAACACTAGGAGCTCATCTGTTTGTATTTGGTGGTACGGATGGCAGCAGGCCGCTTAACGATTTATATATCTTGGATACCTGTAAGTTTGCCTGAAGTCTCCTGATTTTTCTTAAATGTTGATAAAGCTATGTATTACTGTGAGATTTTGAGTAATCCCTCCACATGTTTATGGAAACAACTTAATGATACGAGATTCTTTATTTGATATATTAAAAGAAGTGGCCTGTATAGCTTTATTATGTTTTTATCTCCAACATTTGACCTGTTCTTATAATAGCCATTAGTGATTTAGGATGTTACACAGAAGAAAACACATGTGCTTTTTGTCGGTGACAGTTTGGAAGCTTAAAGTTATGTTGAATCTTGGCCAATTAGTACTCCAACTAACTATTTGTCGGCATGCATTTTACACATTCTAGCTTCCAATACATGGATCTTTCCAACTGTAAGGGGTGATGGTCCAGAGCCAAGAGAAGGTCATAGCGCCGCCATTATTGGTAGAAGGCTCTTCATATTTGGTGGATGTGGAAAGTCTGGAGATGAAGAGATCTACTATGATGATCTTTACATTTTGAATACTGGTATGTACTCTTTACTTTGTACATTTTTCCTCTTTTGGTCAGATATCCGAGTGTTATTCTAGGGGAAAGTTATTTTGGATTTTGTTTTTTTGGAAGTTAAGCTTTCTTATATCATTTATTGTTCTGTTTCTTACGAGGTTGGACACGAGTGGTGTTTCTTAAATTGGAAGTTCCTCGTTTAGATGACGTATTCTGAAAGATCTCATAAACATGTTACATCATAAATTATACAGAGTTACAATTTGATCAAAAGCCTTTTAAAATGCAAAAAATGACAGAAGGAGAAGAAATTTCATTTTCAATTGTTCTACTTGATTGTTTCAGACCCTGATCCTCTAATAATTTTTGAATTTTATTTTCATAAAAACTGCTGATTTTTTTCCCCCTTGCTAAGTGAAAGTTTTGCTGACAACCTTGAAAAGCAAATATATGCAAGATGATAATTATATATCTGGGGATGCGAAACAACTTTTTCAGGTGTTTTCCCTCCTATTTTGCAGAAACCTTTGTATGGAAACGTGTAGTGCCATCCGGCACTCCTCCAACTAAGAGAAACAGTCATACCTGCTCATCTTGGAGAAACAAAATCATTGTCATAGGGGGTGAAGATGCATATGATTACTATCTGTCAGATGTCCATGTGCTTGATTGTGGTATACTCAATTTGTTTTAAATAAAGCTAATGCTGTTTACGTAGTAGTTCCGTATTAAATTATGTCCCTTGTGTGAACTGAAAGCTGATGTTACATGGTTTATCTCTCATCTTTGAACAAATAGATACTCTAGTCTGGTGCAAGTTGAATACTACCGGTCAGCTGTTGCCGCCCCGTGGTGGCCACACAACTATCAGTTTCGGCAAGAATTTGTTCGTCTTTGGGGGTTTTTCAGATGAGCAGAACTTATATGATGATGTCTATATGTTTGACATTGGTACGTATTTCTTTAATGACCATATTCGTTTGTCGGTAGAATAAGATGCAGCTCCTCGTACCAACTCCAATCAATGTAAATGTGCTATGGACTTGTGCTGACCGTGAATAAACTGATTTCTAGAGTTATCTTTGACTATTAAAACCACTCTTGTGGATGCTAGTTGTTCATCAGTTATATAAGATTTTCGGGTTCCTTGCAATTCACTATAATTAAGCTGTGGACGGGATTACTTGTTGTGGTAATGATTATGTAGATGATGTGCTGTAGGAATATAGTGATAGTTTTGAATTTTTAATGTAGTTGGGATAATTTTATGACTGTGCGGTGGTCCGATGCAGAAAATAGTACATGGGCAAAAATTGCTGCAATTGGGGAGGGCCCTTCTGGCAGGTTTTCAATGGCTGGTGACACCTTGGATCCCCTTATGGGCGGTGTCCTTGTTTTTATGGGTGGCTGCAATAAAAATCTCGAACCACTGGATGACATGTATTACTTGTACACAGGTTTAATTCTCCCATCTTTTAGTGCATAGCTGAAGGTTGTCATTATTGAAATGGATAATAAAGTTAAGTAACTGTGTTAACTGTGACGTGTTAAACTGCTCATCATCAGGGCTTTCTAGAGAAAATGAACATGATGAAAGGCGGGGTGAGAAGCTATCATTGAGAAAACAACTGAAGTTGAAATGCCGAGAGCAACTTGCTGGTAATCCTGCATATGAGAGGAATTCGTTTGGAGTGCAACGCGAACAGGATACTACTGTTTACCAGCCCATGCCAATTTCTAGTTATATGCCATCAGGTAAGGGATCATTCTATGAATTTTTATGTTGCCTTTTCTTTTGATTTTCATTGGGTTACATTGTTGCTGTCTCCACTGGAGACTGTTAAGATAAAAACCATCCCACGAGGCCTGTGCATTTCACAGGTTTGAAATCTTATTTGCTTCGACTGTTTTTATAGAGCTTTGCAAGACAACGCTCACACAATGTCACACTCACACAAAGAAATGCTTATTTAAGAGAAAATAGTGTTGTTCGACAGCATAGTGCTAACAGAAAGAGCTATGCATATTGTGATGTTAAATGCTAACAGGGTTAGATCTACATTGCATGTACTTGAAAATATTCTATCGAACCTGACTTCATAAATATACGAAGGCTTGAAATAAAAAGCATTGCATTTTTTATTCCTTTAGCCGGTAAAGAAAAAATACATCGAAGAATAGCGTGATACTTTTTGATTTTGTAATCATATTTGTGTACACCATTTGACATAGCTGTTGCTCTTTCAGGCAGGCAAACTTTCTATTTGAATGAATACCAGAAACCTTTGGGAAAGAGGACTTTTCAAGCGAAAATCACTAAAAATCTTTCTAATGGATATTCTATAGAAACTATCATTGATGGAAAGCCTCTTCGAGGATTACTATTTTCCAACAAACCAAGTTCCATTAGGATGGGTGCTGGTGATCCCATAAGGTGAATTTTCTAAAGCACATTGATGATTTTCTTCTTGCTAAGACAAATATTTGAGGTGATCTAATTTACGTTGCTGCAGGAAGATGGAACCCGTGAAGAATGATGGTCCTAATGGTCTTGGTGCTCATAATTCTTCTGTAGAAACTGATAAAGCTTTGCAGGATCAATCAGATGCTAGTCGGAACAAAGCTGAAGTACCTGCTGCCCATGCCGTATCTGCTTCTGCAACTAAGGATCCAGCTGCTGAACTATCGAAGCCCCAGGAGGTTAGCTCTCTTATAATAGTTTGAAAAATTAATTTATTCCTACTTCCTATGTCTCACACTTACTAACATAATCCCTCTGCTCATACTCTTGTTCTGTATCCATCAGCAGGATCCTGGACAATCGGAACCTATGGCCCTGGATATTAATATGGAGATTGATGCATCTAATCATCCATCATCTTCTAGTGCTGAAATTCCAAATGAGAATGCTTCTATTGTTGGTGGTGATCAAATCAACCCCTCAAATTGAGGTACAAATAGAAAATGCTAAACGTTGCAAGTCAGACTACAGGCTCTCTTACAACATTTTTATTAGGTATGTGGACGGGCATATAGCCTAGATATTTAATGTTTGAACATGTTTATTGGTTGTGATGTTTGAAAAACTGATTTCCGATGCAGTTTGAGATTCTCAGCACCTTTTTATCTTTCTGAGTTATTAGTCACATGAAAATTCATATAATGGATGCTTATTCAGGAGAGTCCAATTTTGTTCTATAATGTGGAATGTGGATGACTTCAAATATAAGTCACATGAAAATTCAAATAATGGATGCTTATTCAGGAGAGTCCAATTTTGTTCTATAATGTGGAAGTGGATCACTTCAAAAATACGGTATATGCACCATAATGTGGGCTTCGGAAATTTAGGGCTTTGGAAATTAGATAAGATGCAATTTGCAAATGTGTTTCTGTGTTTTACATACATGAATTCTGTTGGTTTGCAATTTTGATTCAATGTCATCTGTGTAAGATTTTCCGATCCCATGTAGTGTGGTGAAGTCATAAATGCAGATAATGATATACACATTTTGTAAACAAAATGTAGGCACATGGGGCGCTGTTTTCTGACGGTCGTACTGCGTCCTATAATTTGTAAAGAATTCAATGTTAATGGGGAGCTAATGCTCCTCAGTTATATCTAGGGCCCAACGACTCATCTATTTTATTTTTTTCTAAGCTTCTAGAAATTCCTAATTTCATCCTTACAATTAACTAGCAAAAGAAATGTGGAAAATATTTTCCAGCCATTTGTAATGCTTAGAGGATTTTACTTTATATTTTTCATAATGAAATAGTCTTTATTTACCTAGTCACGAGCTTTCATCCTGAAAAATATTTTATGCCTTCTCGTTTCACTTTTAACCATCTTCTAGGTATATATATATATTAAACTTAGCAAATGAAATGTTTTAAGAAAGATAAGATGTTAAATGAGAATGAGTCCAAAATTATTTCCATGGTGAGGCATTTGGGCTTAGCATTGTGATCGATGAACTTGAGAATTTCCAGTTTGTGTTTTTACCAACTCTAAGATGAAATGTGCTTGTGGACCGTGGATGTAGTGGTTAAAGGTAAGCCATAAACAATCAGAATATTAAATACATTTGTTTGGTATTATTTTCTACATGGGATTGTTGTTTCTATTTTTAAGAAGTGGGTTTATGAGTGAATTTTCTTGGTCTCCTAACTATTGAAAGGTGCTAACAAAGCATTTTGTTTTTTAAAAATACCGATAGCAAAATTGGAGGTAACAATTTCGTTGAAGAGTAAGTAATGAATGGCTTTTTTTACAAAAAAATATATAGGAACAGTCATATGAAATCCCAAAACAATTTCATGTATTATCTGAATTTCAGTTGTCGATAATGCCTGGAAAATTCAGGAGTCTAATACATGCTTCAAAGTATCATGTGTTTTTCTGTTATTAGTCTTTGTTGCTGCTGGTCCACATTTATTTATCTCGAATTTCTAAGCTGCTGTATCTTGGACTCTTGTGAATTAAGTGGCTCGTTTTGTGAGCCTCTCAACTAATCCTTTTAACTCACTTGCTCCATTTATGCATACTCAGTTATATTGTTTGGTAACAGATGTTCTGTTAGATGCCATTTAATACTTTCAGTTCTTGACCTATTCATCTACACATCATCTTGGTAGTATGCATTTAATATTTTCTCTAGAAGCGCCTTTGCGACATGCCACGTGGCTTGAAATTCCTGCTATTTAGCTGAAGCTCAACTATATGCTGTTATTCAATACTTGTCTTCTAGTGTTACTATCAAATGATTATTGCATTTGGATTCCTGTTTGATGTATTCAATAAAGAATCTTGTACTGTGGAAAAACCTTCTTTCTATCCTTTTATGGGTCGAATTTTGGGCTTCTGCGTTACCTTCTAAATTCGGTTCCAGTAGATTGCGTGATTTTATATATCAGAATTCGTGAGCGCAGTGTTTTGCATTTAAAATGTTTTATGTTTTACAGCAAGTTGGTCTTAATGTCAAAATCTGACAGTTTGCTTCGAATTCTTGCAGTTAATACGGCAAACCTGTCTTCGAACGAAACTGCATTTGCCCTTGTACTTGTATAGCTCCTGACTATGGAACAGCCGAGGTTGCTGGCCTCCCATTTTAACACGTGGATATGCTTCCGCAGATTTTGGTTGCTCTACCGTAGGATCTGACTAGTTGCCGAAGTGTATATTCTCGACGGTTAGACTTTAATGAGATTACGTAGTTGTATATTGAACGGTGGATTCAATGATTTAAAAGCCTCCTAATTTCACTATTACTGAATTGAAACTAAGCCGTTCGATCAATTTTTTATCCAGAGGTCAATATTACATCATGTTTATAACAGTAAACATATTGGCACGAGTTGTTGCATCTATATTTATATTGATGTTGATTAAAATAGCGCTGCTGAGGCTTCCGAATGTCCGGTGGGATAGCGCCGGTGCTCAACGGAGGGCCCTCTGAGGTGGTTTTATTACAGGAAGCAGGAGATGCCTTTCTGATGTGGATGAGAAGACTAAAGTCTTGTGATGCATTTGAAGAGGTAAGAAACTATGTATTTAATCTTTTTGCCTTATTGGGGAACAATATAACCTCTTTTTGTGTAATTTGGTGTATTTAAATTATGGTTCGATATATATATATCATATCGTTTATAAATATTTAATAAATTTACAATATAATTCGATATATAATTGCTTAACAATTTTTATCGGATAGTTGAGTGCATCTTCATAATGCTACCAAAACCAATGTTTGTAAGTTGTTTGGCTGTAGTTTGAAATTAATTTGAAATGAAATGTTAGATTTGAGGTTTTTGTTTAAATAGGATTTTGATGTGATATTTTGTAAGAGAATAGTGTAACCTCACAGTTTGAAATACAAAAGAACAAATTCCAAGTAGCAACATAATGAAGCTAGGATTTGAGTTGTTTGCATGGTCGAGTTGGTGTGTTTGGCTGGTGATTGTAAGATCACTTATTTTGAATTCTATTGATGCTTTATCGTCGAGCCTGTCACCATGAACTTGCTTAAGGTGGGTGACTTTCTTGGCTATCATAGTTTGTAAGTACTTAAACTTTGGATTCAACCGGCTGATCGAGTTAGTCTATTGTTTGGCTGGCATTGTAATGTTGCTTGTTTGAATTCTACCGAGTATTACATTCTAGATTTGCTTAAGGTGACTTTTTCGGCCATCGTAATTTGTTAGTTTTTTACATTTAAATTGAACTCGATTAGCTAGATGGTATGTTTTCAATTTATGATATTAAAATGTATACATGTAGATGAGACTGATAGACTATTTATATTGAAAATGTAAATTGTTATATTATCTAGCTTCACATGAGTTTGCTTATAACTTATATCATTTAAGTATTCTTTTGTAGGTGACAGTTTGAATTTTTCATAATAACCGCCGTTTTGGATTGCGATTTTCTTTATGTTCCAAACTTATCTCATAGCTGTTTCAAACCGCAATCGAACTCATCGCAACATTTTCAAAGCTTCCCGAACATTGAATCGATCCCACCAACATCGAAAGAATTGGCTTGATGAATTGTTACCTGTGTAATTTTCTCTTTCAAAGTTGAATGTAATCTTTAGTAACTAGTAACAAGTTCATGCAACAACACAGAGTTTGCTTTGCTTGTAGACTCATTTTAGTCATCATCATCGTGCCACTTAAAAACACCAAATAACACCAAGTAAAATTAAGACTTTAGAAAGTGATTAAAAATTTAAAAATAAGGGCATACATTATATTTAAAATGTGTGCATTTTGAACTCTTTTATCTACAGTAATGTTAGTGACTATTGGTTCTATTTTCACAAATTCATTTAATTTAAATAAAATTTAAAATGATATGTTATTACAAATTATATACAATAAATAGTAATGGTGTGAAACCAAATCAAGATTTTAATTTAGAAAGAATATTAAGTAATATTTTGTTAGAAACAATAATATATTTTTATCAAAAAATTATTTACAATAAATAGTAATGGTTTGAAACATAAACCAAAAAACACACCCTTCGTTTTCCATTTAAGTTGGAAGAAGATAAATAACACGAGATCTTTTGAACTTTGATTTTATTTTTAATTATCCAAATAGTAATTTAATCATAACATTTTATAAAAACAATAATATATTTTTAAAAAATTGAAAGCAAACTCCAAATGAATTGAATTCATGGCTCCCCATTAAACAACATCACATCAAACTCATAGTAAAGGACAATGCTGATAAAGATTACCTAATATCATACAACACACAAAAGAAATCAAAATCGAAAGGGCTCTAATATCTTCACATATATATATATAATCATTTGTCAAATTCCATTAAAATATACCAAAATATTATATCTATATATATATATATATATATCATTTTAGCAAAAGCCAACAAGCACAAATGCAACAAATATCACAAAAAGGGAACAACTATGACTCAAAATACAAAAATTTACTTCAAAATTTGACAAACTTTTTAAACCTTTTAATACTTTTTCCACACACACAATTTTGCTTTATATATAACATCCCTTCAAACACATACTAACTAATGATTTTTGAAATCCTTCGATACACAGACGATTTTTTCCAACAATCTAAAGTCATTCAAAAATTTTAGAAACATCAAAACCACATTTTAGCCATGAAGCTCCAAGGAACAGACGGCAGGCAAAAATGGTAACGATATTACCTGAATTCTGCAATTTCAAAGACCCGAGAAGTTCCATCAAGCGAGGCAGATACGAGGAAATTTCCGTCGGCAGTTGCAGAAATGGATTGAATGGGACCAGCGTGTCCACGGAATTTTTTTACGCAATCTCCAGAGAGGCTGTCCCATACCCGGATATCCCCGTCCAGACAGCCTGTGGCTATGTATCGGGAACTAGAAAGCCATAGCAGACAAGTAACTCCATCCTACACGGAAAATAGCAAACAATTGTTTTATATAACACTGCGTGGTTAAAATGTAGGTATACAGTAATGTGTGAGAAACTTAAAATATTCAAATTCACAAACCTCATGATCACAAACGCAACGAGGGGATGAATTCTGATCCCAGATCATAAGTTTCTTATCCATGCCACCGGTCGCAGCTCTCCAGCTATCCTTCCGAGAGCTGCGAGAGAAGTTTCCAAAATGTTTCAACGAATACACAAATATCTTGATTTAGTGAAATTTCTGTGTGTTAATTGACTTAATTCTTTCCATAAAATGACGTGAAAAGGAAAAGTTGAAGCAAACCTTGCTTCAAAAGCTGCGCACTCAACGGAATCTGAGTGAGGATTCAAAGAGATAACCACCTGAGGATTGCACGCATATAAGTGCTTATTTCAGAGAGATTTCGCTCTTACACGACTAGTCTAACAATGTAATATGAGAGATAAGATAGAAGCAAACAGAAGGAAAAATCACCTTCCCGGTTGATATGTTAACGACATGAACAGAGCCATCACTTGCACCAGTAAGTGCAAGAGTAGAGTCCGAGCTAATTGCCAGACATGTCAGTCCTTCAGTATGATAAGGATGACCTAGATGTAAAGCATAGTTGTCAATGTCGGGAAGTGGCAAATACCAGTAGAACCTTTAAAAACTATAGCGGGATAGGATATAGCGAGATGACTGTTATATGAATATATAAAAATATACATATAATAGATATTACATACATGTAAAATTATAATCAAAATGCATATGAAAAATATATAAAGTAAGACTATAATATTGATCCAATTTATAAGTTAAGTCTTATGCTAAAGACAATAAAATATCAAAATATACAATCACAGAGAGCTATCTAAGCAAAAATGATTGGATTACTACTATTTTGATAAATAAACAATTAAAGTTATACATACCTCTAACAACATGAATATTTTCAGCAGTTTTGGGGTTCCAAATCCTCAGAGTTGCATCTTGAGAACCACTACATATTGTCCGACCTTAAAAAATGCAAGTAACTTAGAGCCGTAGAAGACCTTTGACAAAAATATAAACGGTAATAAAAAAGAAAGACCATATTATAATGTACCATCGGGGGTAAAATCACCGCAGGTCACACTAGACCCATGGCCGGTAAAAGTTTGAAGATAAGTAGCCCTGTCCGCATTCCACATCCAAATAGAGGCATCCTCTGCACCAGCTAAGATCACATGTCCCTTGGGATGCCACTTGATCCACTGAATGAAGTTACAGTTTAGATAAGATCATTAAAAAGATTACTCACCAACATATTTCACATATTACCTCTATGCCTTCAGAGGGTCCGTCAAGAGTACATTTTAATTCTCCATTCACTGTGTCCCATACTTTAACAACTCCATCTAACCCACCAGTTGCTAGCAACTGTCCATCTGTGCTGAACGATAAACTAGATACAGAGTCCCGGTGACCTGCAAGCAGATGTTCAACAAGATGCAAAACGAGAATTATATACTTGAATGACAGGTCTCTAGTTAATTAATAAACTACTATACTATCCCTTTTTTATGGAGACAAAAGAAAAATTACACAAATAAAAGAAATATATACATATATATATATTGTATTAGCATGCTCTAAACATTAGTCACGAGCATTGTCTTCTTCGATTATTATTCCTACCTTTTGCATCAGCTCCCCGGTTAACATGACTAGAAATTATAAATTGATTTTGCACTGGAAAACCATTAGCAGTGCATCAACTCCATACCTGGCAACTCAAAAGCCCCGTCCTCTCGATTAATCTTCCATAGGAATCCTTTATCGTCTCCACCTCCAGTGGCTACTAATATGGCATCCACAGGACTACAGGCGGAAGCGTATAGCTCATCTGGATGCAAAGAAAGCTTGTAATGTTAAGTATTATTCAGAATCAATAAACGGAGTTAGTTTTGTTAAAAAGATTACATCTAGAAACTGGATTGATGAATATATGTGAGTTTATAGGCAAAGGCACACGGCTTCTATGTTTAATAACACCTCACATTGTCAGATATCCTAAAATGCGTGAATGATCATGATTAGATTGGTTCATTACTATTAAAGGACGGATCAATAATGGCCATAGTATATTTGAAGTCAAACGAATGGCGGGACTAAATATATCTTCAAATGCTTAAAATACTATTACAAACCTGTATGGCCAGTGAAAATATGCATGGAATCATCAACCACTTCTGCAAAAACAAAATATTAATGATGTAAGATTGTGCAGATATATTCTAATCATTCAATCGCAATATTGGACAAAATCATATCCAGTCACAATACTACTTTATCAGAAAAATAATGTTGCTTTTATTCCATGGCCAATCTTAAGCTTAGTCTAGTTTCTGTCACTTCAGGCCACGAAACATTGAGCAATCCGTTGAAATTTGTGTTTAAACTAACTGATTTCAGCATTTCTTATTCTGTCTTACACAATGCTGGCACATGCTTCGCAATTTCTCAGATCCATTCGTGCAATACATTACAAGTCAGCAAGAAATAGAAAGTGTTGCTTCCAAAATATTTTATACTGTGATTGGTAGTGTAATAAATTCCGCTCCCATGGGTTTCTATTGGTTAACATAAGTTTCAACATAATTTTCATTCTAAACATAGTTGTAAATCTCGAATAGCATTAAATAGAAATGACCGCTATGCGATATGACCACTATTTAAAACTAAAAAATATACCTATAAAAATTATTATTTATGGAAATGTATTAGAAAAATCTATAAATTAATATCAATATTATCATTCAAAACTATAAAAGGTCAAAAAATATTATCATAGATAGTTATAGAATAAAAAAATAAAAATATCACTACTGCTTTAATAAATAGATAATTAAAGTTAATCCGATTCAAAATCTAATAAAAAATATAATATTATGTTACAAACCCTAAATCTACGTAATAATAAGATTATTTTATTATTGTTTTTCTATAATAAACTAAATGATTAGCTGAGTGATTAGCACGAAAATATAATGAGTGTAAAATTGTAAATACAGACTCCTACATGTAAAAACATGCACAAGCTTATGCCCCACCACACCATTGCTTAACAACTACTGAATGCGCAGTGGTAGCAGCGGAGCCCCTTGTGACACACTGCTAAGCACTATTGACAACTCTGATTCTAACCAATAACAAATCCCTAAAAACACACCTATTGTATGCTACTTCATGCATCTAAATTAGATAAAACACATGAAAATAAACTACAGAAATAAATTGTCATTCATCAAAATAAACTGCAATAAAATGAACTCACCAAGGTCTACATCTCCACCAGAGGTCTCTTCATCATCAGCATCTGGGACATCTGAATCTACTTCTCCACCAGTTTCTTCATCATCGGCATCTGGGAGATCTGAAGCCACAATAAATCAGTCAAAACTACAACTAAAGAATAACACACGAACATATAGTGAGCAGACAGAACTACAAAATTATGCAAACTCTAGAAACACGAACGAGACTAATTAAAACACAATCAAACAAAGCAGACACATATTTCTAACAACTTATTCACAAAAGGCATCGGTCGTCCGACGAATAATCAAACCTTAAAACCAGGATAAATGATGCGGGGAAGTGATTACCAGTAATTGAGAATATGCAGAGGAAAAAGAAAAACATAAATACAAGAAGAACACATCCTGCAGCTTCCATGGCAGAAACTGCTTCAAATAACAAATTGCATACCTTCTTCATCAATATCATGCACATTAATTATATCAGTTTCATCGAGAAACGCCTCCTCATTGTCCCCGTGGTCGTGTTGGGGTTGCGAATTCATGTCTTCCTGAGACAACCAAACGCATACAAAATCCGACCAAAATTTGGCAAGAAATTCATCAAAAATTACGGATGATTAATTAGTTCAACTATCGCTCATCAATTTACAAATAGCATTAATCAGAATTCAAATCAAACCTGAATTGCGCGTACAGAGGAACTAGGTTTTGACTGTTGAGAGGTTTTGCTGTACGGTCATTCAAATACCAAAACCCCTTTCTCCGTTCCAGAAAGTTCTTTCCAAAACCAGTATTAGCCGCCAGTAGAAAACCGGATCTCCGGTTTAGTATCGACGGCTAAACCGGTTCTTGAACCGGAAGGAGGGTAAGAAGGTTGTGGTGTCAGGCTCGAGCCCACATTAGCTTTCTTTTTATCGGTCCATTGGGCTTTGTTTCAGTTTGAATTTTATTTTATTTAAATTTAAATTTAAATTTAAATAATATTTTATGAAAAAATAATATTATTTTATTAAAAATTGTTTTTAATAAAAATATACCAAACCCTCTATTCTTATAAAATAAAATTTAAAATATTAAATTACACTTTTAGCTTTTATTTTATTTATTTATTTATTTTTTAATTTCCAATCAAAAGCACCGTTATTCAATTATTTTCAATGTAAATATAACATTTCTTTTTTCATAAAATACTATTTAAAAAAATTAAAATCGATATTTTATATTAAATCAATTTTAAATTACAATAAAACAATTAAATAATAATTATAATAAAAGTGTTAGAGAATAAGAAAATTAAAATTTAATATTTATAGTATCATACTTCTTCTATCTCTAAGTCTATGGTTGGATCCATTTTTTCATTTTGAAATTCTAGTATTTACTTTTCTTTTTTTTTTTTTTTAAATTTAATAAATATGATTTTCATACTGATAAAATATATTTAAATTTATAATACTATCATTATTAATTGTATTTTCACAAATTTTAAATTAATACTGCTATATATAAAATAATACTACTTTTCGGTTCCAAAGGTCTCATTTACTTTTTGCATATTGATATTTGAATATTAATTATTTATATCAAAATGTAGTACAAATTAAAAAAATTGAAAAAATACTTCCATCTTATAATAGTAATAGAAGGACATGTTTATAAAAAAATAATAAAAACTACTCAATTTTTTCTTGATTTTGATTTGTACTAAGTTTTGATATAATAACTGATATTCAAAAATCAACACACAAAAAGTAAATTGAACCCTTAAAATTATACGGAGGTAGTATTATTTAATATTTTTATATTATGTAATTAAATATATGTTTTTTTTTAATGTAAATTCATTATTTTAAAAACATTATTTACAATTCATATTTTCATTGAGAATATTTTAAAAAAGACATTAATATAAAAATAAATCAAGATGAATTAGAGGTGTAGGATGTGTTCTTTTATCAAAAAGAAAATAAAAAAATACACACATTTTTTAAAAAAATTAATATGTTACACATATTTATTATTTTTATATTTTATACACAATTTTTATACCTCACATAAAAAAATATCCAATTAAATTATCTCATAAAACAAATACAGGTAGTGTATTTGGTTATTAATTGTGATATGAACAGACCAATTTTTCAGATATTTCATTAATTACAGCATTATTTTCTTATTTTCTTTAATTTTTTATTCTGATTCTATAAATTCTTTTATAAGAAAATTTAGTAATAACTCTTGGTAAAAATTATTTGATTGCAGTACTAATCCATGATGATCCTAGCGAATTAGAAATCCTCACATAAACTACCTAGTATTTATGTTACTTATGCGAAAAAAAATTAAAAATACTTCCTCCGGCTCTAAGGTCTCATTTATTTTTTACGTCATTGTACCTAACATTACAAAAATATCCTTATATTTGTATAATTTTTTGCACAAATGTCATTGTAATAGTATTATAAGACACTAATAAAAGTATTTTTGTCATTTTCCCTTAATTTGTATTACGTTTTCATATAATAATTAATATTCAAATATCAACGTGCAACAAGTAAATGAGATTCTTAGAGTCAGACAGAGGTAGTAAAATATTACACAATAAAAACATTGTTTTAATAATATAATTCTCAAACAAGTTGTAAAATATCATCATCTTCATCATTATTATTATTATTATTATTATTATATTACAAGATCATATTTTAAGCTTCCGGCTCCGGAGGACTTGCCCGGAGACGGTGGTGGTGGTGGCGGACGCGACGCTCCGTTAGGTCCCCAAACAAAGTGACATCAACTTCTGGTTTCCATGGAGACGGCACTAACTTGTCGTTAGTTGGAATTTGGTAGCTGAAAGAACCAGCCTCAAACTTCGGTGGTGGTGGAGGAAAGCGATAGTACTTGAATCGCGACCATTGTTTATCTAAAGGAATCCGGAAGCTTAGTGGACTATCATCCACCGCTGGTGGTGGTGGCGGCGACCATTGTTTATCTAAAGGAATCCGGAAGCTTAGTGGACTATCATCCACCGCTGGTGGTGGTGGCGGCGACCATTGTTTATCTAAAGGAATCCGGAAGCTTAGTGGACTATCATCCACCGCTGGTGGTGGTGGCGGCGGCGACAGTGGTGGTGACGGAGGAGGAGGAGCGCCTAAAGAAAATGTGTCAAAATTAACTTTTGAAACGAAATCATCGTTTTTATCAACATTGAATGTGTTGAAATTGACCATGGCGTCGTCATTGACGTCTAATTCTGTTGGGTATTTGAAAGGTGAGGAATATACGACTGAAATGTAAATAGTAAAGATGAAAATAATGCGGAACATTTTTATTTTTTTTTAAATTTATTTTTATGTGAAGATTTGGAATAGATTTCTGGGTGAATTTATAGAGGTTGGAATTGAAATTTGACATTTATGAACCTTACTATATATTTTATTGGCTATTATAATTATTTGTTTGTTACTTACATACTATGGAATGTTGGTTTTTAGTTATTGTCATTATTGCAATGGTCAAATATAATTTTATAGTAATAATATACTTTTAGGGAAATTTTTTTAAAATGAGATAGTAATAAAATGTTTTTTATTGCATTGTGTATTAGATACAATATTTGTTAAGATTAATAATATTAATAGTAAATAGTTATATAGAATAATAAGATCAAGTAGAAAAAAGAGAAGACACTATTTTTATTTATTTATATGTAAATTTTATATAAATATATTATATAATTTAATTTCTCTATCTTCTAAAGTTTTGTCTACTTTCCTTGTTTGTTTCTCTTATTAAAATGATTTTATTCTTTTTTTTTTAATTTTTTTTATAGTAAAAACATATAGTACTTTTGTGCTATGAGAAGAGTAGCATGGATATTTCAATATTAATTATTATGTAAATACGTAGTACAAATTAAGAAAAAAATAAAAATATATATATTTATCAAGTCTCTTATAATACAAATACAATGAAATTTGTAAAAGAAATTATACAAATATAAAAATATTTTTAATGTTAAATATAATGACTCAAAAGACAAATTATGCTCTTTATACGAGAAAGAGGTATTATTACTTTTTGGCGCCGGCTATGGTGCTAAACATAAAATTTAGCATTGTACTGAATAGCACATCGTGTGCTAACAAATAACACACGGTATTACCACAGAGAACACACAATATGCGTTAATATAACACAGATACAACACATGATATAGTCTCACACAACACAACGCATACAACAATTGATTTTAGCACATGACATAATTTTATACATGTAGTAATTATGAACAAACAACACATATTGTATGTAATAAAAATATGCGATGTTTCTTTATTTTACGTGTATTGACGCTGAATTTTCAAAATAGCACCGTAATTGTCCCATTACCTTTTATACTTATTTATTATAAAAGGTAAAAAAAAATCAAAATGTGTCGATCAAACTTTCATATATTAAAACTCATGCCAAAATTTTTTTTGAGCACACAATTAGGAGACGGGAGGGAGTATAAATATTATTCTTGTATCAGTTAAAGATTTGTGCAAATATTTTTAATTAATCGAATATTTATGTATAACTATGTGACCTTTATGAATTATTTAAATTGAATATTTGCGGCGATACATTTTACTTTGGATGATTCGGTTGATAACAAATTTAGTATATATTTAGTATGTATTATTATATCCGAAACAAAGTAAAGTTCGATATAATAGCAGTAACAACTATTAATCTTTCTCTTGTAATTAGAATTATATAATATTACCTCCGTCTTATATACCATGTCCACGTTGTCGTTTCTGTCCGTCCCACGTACCATGTCACTTTCATTTTTTTGGAAAATAATTACACACTTTAATCTCATTTTAAATTTTTAATTTTTTTTTAATTTTAATTAAACTAATTAGTTATCTTAATCTTAATTTATAATTATTTATATTATATGATAATTATTTTCACTAATACATTTTTAATTATGTACTAATTACACCCCTCCTAAAATACAGTGTCTACGGTGTAGCAGACACGGTATCTGGGACGGAGGGAGTATAAAATATTATTAATATTAAAAGGCTATTTGAATTTTCATTAATAATTAATTTACTATTAATTGTATAGTATAATTATAGATATTTTAGACAAAATTAATAATTTATATAATAATAAATTAAAATAAATATTGAATAATTTTATTATGTAATTATATAATTCATTAAAATAATACTCTTACTTTTTAATTTATTATAAATATATTAATGGTATTGTATTTATTGAACTTAATTATTATTACCATGTATAACTTATCTTAATAATTTCACATGCTAAAGTTAGGTTGTTTTTTAATTTTCCAAATTTTTTACATGCAATCCACACAATTTTTCTTATGAAGATATGTTCCATCTATTTTGGAAAGTGCTTAAAACATTTGGTTTTAAAAATTAAGAAAAATACATTTTAAAATAAAAATTGTGTGTAATATATTAATTTTTTTTTGAAAAAATATGTTGAAAAATTTTGTTTAAAAGAAAAAAGCTGTAATTTCTGAATTAAAATAGGTTGAATGTAAAAAAAAATATGTAAAATCCACCTCTAACAGTGAATAGAGATGAAAATTTTAAAAAATATTTATTTCAGAAGCAAAAAAGAATGAATTTATATATTTAATATATTAATTATTTATTCATATGTATTTAATATTTTATTTATATATTTATTTTTTAATTCATATATATTATTTTTTATTTTATTTATTTTTTAATTGATAATTTTATATA